AACAACCAAACAACTTAACAACGAACTGAACTCACATATAGATTAAGTACATTTTACAAGAAACTTGTATCGGCAAAACTTTAGGACCAAGAAAGGTGCTTATTAGCCCTTGATTACGAGTTCGCAAACAGCAACCTTTCCTCAGCAGAACGAGGTCTTTCCTTTGTCTCTGTGCATGTGTGTGTGTGTTCTAGCCTCTTCTACTGCTGTCTTCTCTATTGTGTTTGCCATCACAGTCAGGGAGGCCAGCTTTACTCATGTGCTAATTAGACCTATCCATTCTTCCTGCTCCATGTCTGTGTGCCACGTCCACACATAATGAGCTCTCCTCTGAAATATTCATGTCATTAACAATGCTCTGATTAACTCTGGAAATTAAAGGCAATTAGAAAAACGCGGGTTTGGAGAACAGGATTGAAAGGCGTGGGAAGGAAGGAGATGAACGACATCCAAATATGGCTCTGGAGGAAGTAGCATGTGGTGAAGAAACATGGGTTGCTCTGGATGGAAGCTCCATTTTGATTGCTATTATGTATTGTAATCTGCTGGGAATCAGGGTTTGGCTAGTGAGAAAAATCTTCATACCTGATAATGCCATTAAATTCAGAGAAAGTCCCTAATTAATTTTTTTCTTCCCAAAGCTGTTAAGTTTTGATCTTTTCCACAAAAACACAAATATTTCATGTGATTATAAATATGACCTTTGAAGTATTAAAATTATTCTTAGTAACTCAAAAAGTAAAATTATTACTTCAAAGTAAACATTTAATTAACTACTGACCCATTTTCCAAACATTTTTGTTTACATTTTGGTGTCTGCGTTAAATAAAATGTACAAAAAATGATTAAATATACATTTAAAGTACAACATACTTATTCCGGCCAGTAATTATTAAGTATATATTTAAAAAAATTATGATAATAAAATATATATTAAATAAAAAAGATTAATTGGTTAAATGTAGTACTAAATATTTGTCTTTCAATTATTCATTTTCTTTCGGTTTAATTCTTTATTTATAAGGAGCTGACACAGCGGAATGAACCGCCAACTATTTTGGCAAATGTTTTGCACTGCGGGTGCCCTTCTAGCTGCAACCCAGTACTGGGAAACACCCATACACATTCATTCACACACTCATTCACACACACACTACACTACGGCCAATTTAATTCATCCAACTCACTTATAGCGGATGCCTTGGGACTGTGGGGGAAACCCACGCAAACGCGGGGAGAACATGCAAACTCCACACAGAAATTCCAACTGGCCCAGGCGGGACTCGAACCAGTGACCTTCTTACTGTGAGGCAACAGTGCTAACAACTGAGCCACCGTGCTGCCTAACTGTCTTTAGATCAAATTATTTTCTATAAAAAAACTTTGTTACACTGAATAAAATTTAAGTGTGTGCCCTCTACAAATATCCAAATACTCGATAGTTGTCAAATAAATGCAAAAATGGCAAAAATAAATCTTAAAAAATAAATAAACAAAATATATATCTATGTATATCTAATCTGATTGGCTGATAGCCGTGTCTGCAATATTAGAACTTGTACAGGCTCTTCACTCTGTTGTGTATTCCTCCGCCAACATAGAGTGACAGCAAATCAATAAACTCACTACAGTTTGACAAATATTGCAGTTGTTGGAAAATATAATGCACTTTTGAGTCTTTTTAGTCGGGAATGTAGATATTTAGATTGCAACTATGCAGTTTATTTATAAGGATAGTGCCTATTTTGAATACCCATAATTTTGGTGATACAGTGCTTCGGCAGTGATTAGCCTGTCATACTGAGCAGAACAAGGATGGTTGATGTTGTCTATCCACAAGATGGCGACAGAGACAGCATAATAAGCCCTTAGAGGAGAAAAACGCTTTGTACTGCAGCCTAGTTCAGTAAACAGAAAGAAAGAAGAAATGCCCGCATGTGTTTTGCATTTTTCCTTATTGCAAACAAAGCAGTAATCTGGTAATGTTTGCACTGCTTTAGCTTTTTCGAGGTTAATTATTGTGATCTCCCAATTACAACAGAGAAATACTGGGAAATGTCTGTAGACTAATTGCATTTCATGCTGTTCAGCCTTATACTCTTGCCATGTCAGCAAAATCCACTGTTTTGTCATCACTTTAGACATTATGCTTGAGAATCAATCAAATGCCAGCTCTAAAGTGACATTAGTGAATTAGCAACAGTTTCTGCTGTTCTGACATCAGCTACAGATGTGAATGAATGGCGGAGGAAAGTAGATCCTTATACAAAATAATTTTTAAACTCTCTGAGTTTGACTTTCTTTTTTATATACACGATTGTGCCATCGCACTGTTATAAATGCAATATCACACTTGTAGCAGTGCAATGTGGATGTATATTGTCACTGGTGGCACACTGGTGGCACACTAAGTCACTCAAGCCAGTGTGCCTCCCACCAGTGCTGATATGCAGCCATATCATACTGCTACTCCTGTGATATTGCTTATAAAAGATAGTATAAAAGATCACCAATTATTCTGTCATCATCTACACACCCTTTACTTGTCAAACTTGTGCGGTTGAGTTCTTTTTTTTCTGTTGAAATTTTGGAAACACCTATCCATTGATTACCATAGTATTTGTTTTTCCTATTATGGAAGTCAAAGTTTACAGGTTTAGCATTTAAAAAAAAAAGAAAGAAAACTTAAAAAAGGTATAGAACCACTTGAGAATAAGTAAATAGTGAGTAAATTATCATTTTTGGTTGAACTATCCCTTTAAAACTCCATGTTTCATCTTTGACCCATGTACATTTCAAAGATAACACCTAAAAACAAAACACAATGCTCTTCTGACACCTGATCATTTAATGATGTTCTACCATATGACACAACAGCTCTATGGTTCAGCTAGCATTCGCAGTTTTGATTGGAGGGTCACAATTCCTGCTCTGTGACCTTGCCCTATGGAGCGCTTATAAAGAATACAGTCGGGAACGTTTACACTGCTAAACTTTGGCCTTATGAAAAAAAAGACCCAGAGGCCCATGGGAATTGCTGTGTGCTAAAGTAGTGTGTGTGTGGGGTCTGAGAGGCCACAGTGCACAGAGGGAACCGTGTACCTGTACGCCGTGTGCATTTGTCCATGAAAAGGGCACAAGCTGAGGAAAGTCACCAATGTGAGAGGAGATTACTTCAGCTAACTTCCTCTCCAGCCTCAGGCCATCTGTCATTAATGCTTCTAAGAAAAAGGGAAAAAGTACAAGGAAACTAGGTTGCATGTTCTGTTCGTTAGTATATCGTTTAGCAACCATGTAAAAAAATGTCAGGTAAAAAAAGAAATGTTAGAGTAAAAATATGTAACCAGCTAACACTAAGTTTCCTTAATATATACACTACCTGACAAAGGAAGTCTTGTCGCCTATGCAAGTTTTAGGAACAACAAAGAACTTGACTTCTAGTTGACCATGTGGTATCAGAAGTTGCTTATATGAAAGACAAAGGTCTCTAGATTATGCTTATTTTACCAAAATAAAATATGATCATCCCTTGATATTTAATTATTTAATTAGGACAGTAAGGTCTGACTTTGCTTAGACAAAAGTTTAATCACTGAAAAGAAATAACATACAGTATAGAATATAAAGTCATAGTGCAGTGGAAAAAAATTTTTCATTGTGTATGACTCCCATGAGCTTGGACGATTGCATTCATACATTTCTGCAATGACTCAAATAACTCATTAATAAAGAAAGCGTTCCTGCAGGACTCCCAGAGTTCATCAGGATTCTTTGGATTCATCTTTAATGCCTTCTCCTTCATCTTGCTCCAGACATGTTCAACAATGTTCATGTCTGGTAATAGGACTGGCCAATGCTGGAGCACCCTGACCTTCTTTGCTTTTAGGAGCTTTGATGTGGAGGCTGAAGTTTGAGAAGGAGCACTATCCTGCTGAAGAATTTGCCCTCTCCTGTAGTTTGTAATGTAATAGGCAGCACAAATGTCTTGATACCTCAGGCTGTTGATGTTGCTGACCACTCTGCAGATCTCTTGCACGTCCCCATACTGAATGTAACCCCAAATCATGATTTTTCCTTCACCAAACTTGCCTGATTTTTGTGATAATCGTGGGTCCATGAGAGATCCAATATGTCTTCTGCAGTATTTGTGATGAGTGAGATACAGTTCAACAGATAATTCACTGGAAAAATCTAACTTCTGCCACTTTTCCAAATGATCAACTAAAGGTCAAATTATTATTTGTTGCTCTTACTACTGAGATCGACGACAATACTTTTGTCAGAGTGTACAGTGAATAACTGTAAAATTCACATTCCCAGAATGCCCTCAAGACACTTTTTATTGTGATTGTCGACATTACAATGGTTCTTTTCAGGGGGGTTTCTCTTAAGTTTTGCACATTAAAGTTTAGCGTTACATATAATATTGATAAATAATGTTTATTGCATTGCTTTTAATAAATTTTTTAATGGATTGTTAATTTGTAGGAATGTTGTAAGTGGTGTTTGATGTTTGATGTTTTAATATATTATGTATTGATTAATTGTTTTATGTTTTTAGGGTGACTATTCAAACATCCGTCAGTTGAAAAATAGCTTTTTGGCTAATTCTGGCACACATTTCTTGGTATTATTGTGCAATGTCCTTGTCAAATAAACTTACAAATAAACAAATGAATGAACAAACGAACAAATGAATAAACAAACACATAAAAAAATAGTATCCTGCTCTGCTTGAAATAAAAACCTGCTCTCCTTGAAAGTCTTGCCAAAAAAATATACAAAATATGGAAGAAAATATGTACAAAATCTTTTTTATTATACTTCTTCATCCATTTAGCTTAGTTTTGTTTTCTTTTTTATCTAAATACATCCAAATATTTATTCAGTATTTTTATTTTTCAGTGAATGTTGGCACCTCATTTTATGTGGGTTTTAAATAAAATTTTATTTGTCTGGATTTTAACATCTAGATATATATTTTTTTTCTCTTTTCACAGGTCTTCCAGCCTTAGTAGTAGCTGTATCTGTGGGTTTCACACGGGCTAGAGGTTACGGCACGCCAAGTTAGTAAGTATAACCAATGCAGTCCAGTCTCACAAGGAAAATGTAAAGCAGAGAAGTTTCTTTTCGAGCTTTCTATCATGTTTTATTTAGCTTAAGTAATTATTGAATCTGTAACAGAATACAGAAGTACATGCCAGAGATTTTCTTACTAAAGGGAGATTAATATGTTCTTTAAAATGTATTACTTACCATTGGAAAACCTAGAATGCTAACTTCGCTAATGCTAACTGGCTTCATAGCCAATCACATAGCTGCTTTTGGTCTCTTTCCCAGCATGTTATCTAATGTGTTAGCATTAGCCATTATGTTTTTAGGCTAATCATTTCAGGCTTGCCTTACACACACACACAAAACGATTTAAATATTATTCCTTTGTTTAATGGTTGTAAAAACATTTTTGGGATTAATTTGAACAAACAAATTAAGTTGAAGAAGACTAAATTTAGTAAGTTAAGTATATATATATAATCAGCCCATATAAATAGTTTGCAACAATTTACAGAAAAATATTTTTTTTTCAGTGTACAGTACATGTGCAGCGATTATATGTACAGTATATGTTTATTATAGTAGGATGTATATTTTATATGTGGAATACTGCTAAACACATAAGCTGTAAATACATTTGCATTTGGCATTTGAAAAATTAATTGTATTAAACAAAATACTTAATTTAATAAGTTAACAGCAAACTAAAATTTAATCAGACATATTTACAAATATATGCTGACATGTATATTCTACCAGAATATAATTACTTATTATTTTATTGCTAGTTTACTTATTTATTTTTAGATATTTTAATAAATATTTTCATCATTTTAACTTAATCTTTTTTATTTGGTCACATTTCTTTTTAATGTATAATTTAAGCTATTAACAAACACAATTTGTGAGCTCAATACATTACTAATTAGCTGCTTATTAATAGTTAGTCACATAATAGTTGTGTTTAGGTATTCAGTAAGATTAAGGATGTAAACTAAGATCATATCATCAACATCATATGCTAAAACACTGTTAATACCTTAGTAATAAGCAGGTAATAAGCCTGTAATAAATAGTCTGTATTGTTACTAAAACTAAGGTGTCACCATATAATTTATAACACTAATTATGTATTTAAAAATATGGTACATAGGGTGAATAAAGAAATAACTCTAAAGTGAATGAGCAATGAGTCCATTATGCCTAATGTTGACCTTTTACCCTAGTATTTGTAGAATAATCTTGAGTCAGAGAGCCCTCACGTCCTGCCCTGAGCTTTTTATCTTCTATTCCGCTGGATTCCCTCATTGGTCATTTTCTGCCTCTCTGCATATAATGGTTTCTGTCTTTCCTGCACCACTAAGCAATTGATTTAAAGCAGGGAGCTCCCTGACTAATCGGAGACAAAAGTTAAAAACAATGCTGGCCTTTGAGAGCTTTAATTGGATGTGTCTGACACATGGATTCCCCTCAAACCAAAGGACAAATTTTAGAAACGGTGCCAGAAAGTCAGTGGCCTGAAATAACCCCACCGCTGGACTGTTTACTTCCCAGTCACTCTTCATTGCAGTCTTCCACATATCAGTACATGCCTGATTGGACATCTCACAAATGTATCAGAAACACACTATACAGTGTAGACCGAAATATAGAATGATTAATAAACTATTTCACTTATTTAAAGGAATAATGTAATCTTTATTGTTCAAAATTCAGTGTTTCACAAGTGCTGTTTGACTATTTCGGTTTTAAAGATTAGAATGTTAACTCGATTGAATAAGCGTTATCAGTGGTTATCAGCTGATATATATGGACCAGTAGGGGCCTTCTGCACCTATTGGTAATCTCAGAAGGCTGTTATCATCCATCCACAAGGTTAATCAGCTATACTAATGTGAAATGCTCCAAATCCAGATCTGTTTTTACATTACTGTGATTGTAGGGGTTAATAAAATACAATTAATGAGAAATTTAATAAATAATATAAATAATTCTTGTTAACTCCCGCCTGCAGCCGTATGTGATCTATAGCTGATTAACCATGTGGATGGATGATTACAGCCTTCTGAACCTACCAGTAGTCGCAGAAGGCCCCTACTGGCCCATATTTATCAGCTGAAAACACCCATTCAATTGTGGGCTCTTTCCTAATGTTGACTCCACTGTTAATTGTAATCTATTTGATTGTGCTTGAGCAGAACATTAGCTAAATGTTTATATATAATACAATCATGATGAATCATTCTTGTCTCTAAAAATACTGTATGACCTTCCAGGTTTTGAAGAGCTGTTTTGTGTGGAAGTTTACCAGGCAATATTTGTATCCGTCCATTAGCTCGCTGCAGCTTTTTATTTGTCATCCGCAATGAAAGCAATTGAACAATGTGATACTTCCAGAAAGTACTAAGATGAAAAGGTTGCATTTGAAAGATCTATCCCTCAGTTTATTTTAATTTGTTTAGAGTCCAAGTTGGCTTCATTTATTTTTCTTCCTTTTTAATTTAATCTTTATTTGTGTGAGCAAAAAATAATTAAAGGTTAATGGAAACTGTGCAAAAATAAACCGTTTCTATCTCGCCAACTCCTCTTTCTTCTGAAGCTTGCCTCTCCCTGGTGATTTGCAGTGTTTGTATTTCACTTTCTGTCTCTTTCTTATTCTTTTAATTTCAGTTGCTGGTTGTCTCTGGAAGGGGGGCTGCTTTATGCGTTCGTCGGTCCTGCTGCTGTCATTGTCCTGGTAGGTTTCACTCTTTCTGCTTTCCTATTGGTTTGATTTTCTCAACATGAGCTCCACCCATTTCATATGCAAGCATCAGACCCACAGTTGAAGAGAAAAATCTGTCACTAATGAGATTAGATGCCTGACTCGTTTAAAATGTATTTTTAATCAGTATATCATGTTCAAATGCTTGAGTAAACTCGATGAGCTTATTAGCCCAAAGCGACCAAAGTGTGTGTATTTATCGTCCACATCCCTGGTCTCAGGTGCTGTGTTTGTTGTTGTTGTTTTTTTCGCAAGGTGTTTGAATTGTTTTTCATGGTCAGATGTGATTTGCGTTGTTTGTTTCTTGGTGGTGTCGTGAAGCGGCCCACTCAAACAAACAACTGCAAATGAGATTTGGGCATCTGGAGATGCTGGCTCCCTCCTTGGAGAGGCAAATCTAATTAATGGAAAAATAATTAATCTTGCCTCTAGCAAATAGTAAAACGGGGACCCATTGTCTAAGCAAGTGCTTCGCATGATCTGAATGCGAACGGCACTTCGTAAACGTGTTAAACTTGGTGGGTTTGATATGCTGTCGGAGCAGTGTTGATTTAGAGCAGGGGGTTTCAACAGGGGGTTGTTTCAGTGCTGGTGGGGGTCCAGACAAATATTGTTTTATCTCAAACTGTTTTCTTTTTTGGTAAAAACAAGTTAAAAGTATAGTTCACCCAAAAAAGAAAATTACCCCATAATTTACTCTCCCTCAAACCATGTGTATATGACTTTTTTCTGCCAAACAAACACAGTTAAGGTAGTTTTTAAAATTTATCCTGGCTCTTTTATGCTGTATAATTGTATTGGATAGTGTCTTTTATTTTAACCCTTCCAAAAGAGCATATATGCATTGTTAAACTACCCATAATCACAGCCATGGGTTAATGCATGTCTTACTGTGCGTTCACACCGAAGGCGGCGAGATTGTCGGATTAGCCGGAAGTCATTCATTTTCATTGGGAGCCATGCTGCATCTTTGCCTGTGTGGGTGTTGAGGAGAGTTGAAATGAAGTCAACTCTATGGTAATGAGCTTTGACGTGGTTCGGCGGCAAGCAACCCGAGAGTAGAAGTCCACCGCTTAAACGGATTCCAGAGAGCACAGTCCTGTAAACTTTAGTTCCGACCACAGTTGTTGCCAAGGGTTCAAGTGTTGCGGTCGCCAGATTTCCAGTTATTTGAAATGTTTTCTTACAGGGACATAAATAGAATTAAAAAAAAGTTACTGGAGAGTTGATTGCCTAAGTGCACAGGAAGGAAAATAATACTCGCAGAAATCTATACAGCTGCCTCTGGTGGATTTACAAGAAATGACTGAAATGTATCTGTCTGATTATCTATCTATCTATCTATCTATCTATCTATCTATCTATCTATCTATCTATCTGTCTGTCTGTCTGTCTGTCTGTCTGTCTGTCTGTCTGTCTGTCTGTCTGTCTGTCTGTCTGTCTGTCTGTCTGTCTGTCTGTCTGTCTGTCCAACACAATCTCACAGCAATTCGTAACTTTTTCATTTAGTGGCTAATTCCTACAAATTCGTACGTTCTAATTCGTACATTTTAGTACGATTTGCGTATCCTCCAATGACGGTTGGGTTTAGGGGTGGGGTTAGGTGCCACGCCTCCTTTTTAAAATCGTACATTTTCTTACGACTGAACTCGTACGAATTCGTACGAATTAGCCACTAAATTGCCAAAACGTAAAATACTTACGTTTTCTCGTGAGATCAGGCTGGTCTGTCTGTCTGTCTGTCTGTCTGTCTAACTATCATCTATCTATCTATCTATCTATCTATCTATCTATCTATCTATCTATCTATCTATCTATCTATCTATCTATCTATCTATCTATCTATCTATCATCTATCTATCTATCTATCTATCTATCTATCTATCAATCTATCTATCTATCTATCTTTCTATCTTTCTATCTATCTATCTATCTATCTATCTATCTATCTATCTATCTATCTATCTATCTATCTATCTATCTATCTATCTATCTATCTATCTATCTATCTACCTGCCCTAGTAACATAATCTAGTGGATTGTCAAAGTAAAAAATACAAGGTAACATAGTCCAGGGTACATATTTTTCAGTTCTCAAAAAATTTAACCATGGGCACATTTTTCCAATCAGCCTGGGTTGGATGTTTACGCCGAATGGGGGTAGACACATGTAAGTGGCATTATAAGGGTAATATTTTGTGTAACTTTTATACAGTAACGCCAAGCCAATTAGTTTTCTTGTTTGTTGATGTTTTTTGTGGTAAACAAACCGTGTGGTAAGGGGTTCCTATATTCCCACAGCCTTGTCTACGAATGTGTATTACATTAAAAAAGGTATACCTCAGTCGCACATAATGGATTGAATGTATTCAGTATAAAGATCAAGCAGTGTGTATATGTTGATTGTTTGTTCATGTTACTAAATGCATTATCTAACAATAACTAATGCAACCCTAATGTTAAAGTGTTATCTTGGCGTAATGTGTCTGACGTAAGTGTCAATTCATTTCCAGATACTTTTAACTGCATGAAACAGTTCATTATATTGTTTAGCATAGATTAACATATTATTTTAAGCCATTCTCTTCATTTTTCACTTTTTTCATAGGCTTAAAATTCTAATTTAGTTTTACATAATATGTTGCAAATGATCCGTGATTGAACAGATTGACGACTCCTATTTCAACAAAGTTAAACAGAACTGTAACAGCCCATGTGTTGGTGTTGAGCAGTCAGATGTCACTTAACAGAAATTTAATTATCCGTATGTATTGCAATATAATCACAAGCTGTGATAACATGTTGCTCATATGTGCAATGTGTTTGCTATTCACATCATTTACATCTTATAGTTGTGAATCGCTTCAGTTTGGTTATTACGTTAACATTCTCATCTCTTGATTGTAACACCAAAACACCAAAAGCTGCCTTTAAACAATACATATTGTGATAAGTGCTAAATCAACTTATACATTTGTGTAAACAAATAAACCTACACCTGACTGTCCGCCGTGTAATGCAAAAAAAAAAAAAAAAAAAAAAAGCAATAGCATAAAACTTTAAATCCTGTATATTCTATGAGCGAGGAGCGCATATGCGTGTGATTTACACTTGGTCTTAATGTAAGCTTCTCTCCAGTGCTCTGTGTGTCCAGTGGGCAGATGCTGGAATAGACTAAACCACTATCTGCTGAGGCGCACACACACACTCACACACAGAGAGAGAGCGAAAGAGAGAGAGAGAGGGAGGGAGACATGAGGGCATTACTGCTCCTTCATGATCCCACCTGCTTGTTTGCTTCCAGGATTAAATCTACAACACCTGTCACCGGCTGTTAGTGAGCTACTGTTATAAAAGCAGCAGGAAAAAAAGCTCAGCTCACAACATAGTTTTATTTTCATAATACAGTAATAGTGTTTGTACAGACATGTCTATCTGAATCTGTCTAATAGAACCCATCTAAAAAATCTTTCTAATCTAAAAGAATCTGTCTGTCCGTCTGTCAATTTATCTGTCTCTCTGTGATTGCCATTCCATCTATAAATTTGTCTGTCTTTCTGTCAGATTGTTATTTATTTATTTATTTATTTATTTATTTATTTATTTATTTATTTATTTATTTGTCTGTCTGTCTGTCTGTCTGTGATTGTATCTCTGTATGTCTGTCTGTCTGATTATCAATTTATCCAGCTGTCTATATGTCTGTCTGTCTGTCTGTCTGATTATTAATTTATCCAGCTGTCTATATGTCTGTCTGTCTGTCTGTCTGTCTGTCTGTCTGTCTGTCTGATTGTGATTATGTCTCTGTCTGTCTGTCTGTCTGTCTGTCTGTCTGTCTTTCGGTCGTCTGTCTGATTATCAATTCATCCAGCTGTCTATATGTCTGTCTGTCTGTCTGACTGATTTTGATTATATCTATCAGTCAGTCTGTCTGTCTTATCTATCTTGTCTGACTGTCTGTCTGATTGGCATTCTATCTATCAATTTATCTATCTGTCTGTTTGTCTGTCTATTCATTTATCTGTCTCTCTGTCTGTCTTTCTATCTATCTGTATGTCTGTCCGATTGATTATCAGTTTGTCTGTCTGATTATCAATTTATCCACCTGTCTATATGTCTGTCTGACTGATTTTGATTATATCTATCAGTCTGTCAGTCTGTCTGTCTGTCTGTTTGTCTGTCTGTCTGTCTGTCCGATTGATTATCTGTCTGTCTGTCTGTCTGTCTGTCTGTCTGTCTGTCTGTCTGTCTGTCTGTCTGATTATCAATTTATCCACCTGTCTATATGTCTGTCTGACTGATTTTGATTATATCTATCAGTCTGTCAGTCTGTCTGTCTGTCTGTTTGTCTGTCTGTCTGTCTGTCTGTCCGATTGATTATCTGTCTGTCTGTCTGTCTGTCTGTCTGTCTGTCTGTCTGTCTGATTATCAATTTATCCACCTGTCTATATGTCTGTCTGACTGATTTTGATTATATCTATCAGTCAGTCTGTCTGTCTTATCTATCTTGTCTGACTGTCTGTCTGATTGGCATTCTATCTATCAATTTATCTATCTATCTGTTTGTCTGTCTATTCATTTATCTGTCTGTCTGTCTGTCTGTCTGTCTATCTATCTGTATGTCTGTCCGATTGATTATCAGTTTGTCTGTCTGATTATCAATTTATCCACCTGTCTATATGTCTGTCTGACTGATTTTGATTATATCTATCAGTCTGTCAGTCTGTCTGTCTGTCCGATTGATTATCTGTCTGTCTGTCTGTCTGTCTGTCTGTCTGTCTGTTTGTCTGTATTATCTATCTTAACTATATTGTGTGTCTGTCTGTCTGATTGCCATTCTATCTATCAATTTATCTGTCTGTCTGTCTGTCCAATTGATTATTAGTTTGTCTGTCTGTTTGTCTGTCTGTCTGTCTATCTTGTCTGTCTTGTCTTTCTGTCTGTCACTGTAGCTATCAATGTATCTGTCTGTCTGCCTGTCTTTTGGTTCATCTCTCTTTACCTCTGTCTATTTCTCTGTCTGATTACTAAATAGTTGAATGAATTTCTTTTGTTTAAAATAGTTTTTCGACTCATTCAAATTCAAAGTACTGTTCTGCATTTTGCTTGCTACTTTTGAAATTCTAAGGATACTCTCAGATTCACAACCCTGTTAACAACTGGTTAAATGAGCAACACTGCATTCAAATTTTAAACACCAAACTCATTTTTATGCCCAACCATCTTAAAATGTGCTTAACAGCTGAACAAGATCCTGACTTTAACATAACCAGCATAATCCTCCTTAAATAAATCAGAAAGAGACCAGCAATCTAAATAACTCTACTTGTGTCTTGTTGTTGCAGGTAAACATGCTGATAGGAATCGTGGTCTTCAACAAGCTCATGTCTAGAGACGGCATCTCAGACAAGTCCAAAAAGCAGAGAGCAGGGTAAGTGAAGGTCAAAGTAGCGGCTCTATGATACTCATTTATTTCTGGATTTGCACCCAGTCACTCATTTACCACTGGCCTGTTGAAGGTTTTAAAATATCCTGTCAAATGTTTTGCCGAAATAAATTGCTCATGCTCTCTCTCTTTCACACACACACACATGCACACACACGCACACAATACCACTAAAAGTTGAAAAACATCAGACTGAAAGCCAAGATATGACAGCTTCATTAATGGACTTGTATTGATTTGCTGGCCTGCTAACCTCGGGCTAGTCTTCTGATAGCTCTGTCATTAGCTAAGTGTATATTCATTGTTCATGTTGCTGCACATACTGACAGGATCAAGGAGCCCTTGTGCTTTTAAAACGCTTGTTCTGTTTTGCCTTTGTTTGATTGGACACAAAGCAGAGTGATCCATTAAACACTTGTGTTAATGAGTGGACCGCCACATCCCTCACCTCAAACAAGAGGCTAAACTGCTCAGAGAGATTGAATATTCCCATTCCGCTCAGTGAATCGGCAATAAAGTACCTGCAAACTTCTAGAGCACTTTTTTTACTGAGCTCCATCAGTAATATACAGTTTTTTTACAGAGATGAGTGCAATTTTTAACCCCCGTAATGCATCTGGGTGCCTTTTACTAAAATTTTGTTTTGTTACGAAACAAGCTTTAGCAAATGCTCGGAGACTCAGTATTCACATGAAGAATAACACTATTGTGAAAATATGTACGATTGTAATTTGGTATTAGTTGTAGTATCATTCAATAATATTGTTTTTTTAACAAATCTAATTTATTTTACTTGAATATACATTGCGTTTCAGGTAATAAGATAAATAAAAACATAAATAAATGTATTTCTAAATTTAGAAATATACCGTTGAAGACAGAATTATTAGCCCCCTTTGATTTTTTTTTTCTTTTTTAAATATTTCCCAAATAATGTTTAACAGAGCAAGGACATTTTCACAGCATGTCTGATAATATTCATTCTTTTGGAGAAAGTCTTATTTGTTTTATTTCGGCCAGAATGAAAGGAGTTTTACATTTTTTAAGAACCATTTTAAGATAAAAATATTTAGCCCCTTTAAGCTATATATTTTTTCTTGATAGTCTACAGAACAAACCATCATTATACAATAACTTGCCTAATTACCCTAACCTGCCTAGTTAACCTAATTAACCTAGTTAAGCCCTTAAATGTCACTTTAAGCTGTATAGAAATGTCTTAAAAATATCTGGTCAAATACTATATACTGTCATCATGGCAAAGATAAAATAAATCATTATTAGAAATGAGTTGATATCATAAAAATATTATGTTTAGAAATGTGTTGAAAAAATCTCCTCTCCGTTAAACAGAAATTGGGGAAAAATAAACAATGGGGCTAATAATTCAGGGGGAGCTAATAATTCTGACTTTAACTGTGTGTGTTTGTGTATGCATATATTATCTTTCATATCATATCATCTCAAAAGTTATACATAATTGTAAATTGTACGTATGTTTATTGACAAACCATTGCATTATTTATGAGCAATATTACATGACTAGCAGTGCAATTTGGTTGTATATCGGTACTGGTCGGAGGTACCTGCATTGTCCCACCAGTGACAATATACAGCCATTTTGCACTGCTACTAGTGTGATATTGCATATATAAAAACAGTTTGATGGCACAATTGTGTATACAAGAAAGACATTCAAACACGGAGAATCTAAAAACACTTTTGTATCACCATTCAAATCTGCAGATGACGCTCAGAACAGCAGAAACTGTTGCTGCTTCACAAACATCACTTTAGAACTAGTATTTGAATGATTCTCTAGCGTAACATCTAAAGTGATGACAAAACAGCTGATTTTGCTCACATTTTAAGATTATAAGGCTGAACAGCATGAAATGCCATCAGTCTATAGAGATTTCCCAGTATTTCTCTGCTGCAATTGGGAGATTACATCAATTAACACTGAAAAAGCCTGAGCAAAGCAAACACTACAGATTACTATGTTATAAATACAACACTACAAAATGCAAAAGAGAGATCGACTTAGAATGTCTTTTACCTTTTCTAAAATTAATTGTTCAGCTGTAGTTTGAAATGTATGCTGACTTTTTCTCCCTAAGTAATTATTATGCTGTCTCTGTTGCCATCTTGTGGCGTAAAGTGAATCAATTTTTTATTTATTTTTTTTGCTATGCTGATGGCCGCCAACGTGTTGATATGAAGCGAAATTATAAATTTTTTTAAAACAGGCACCAACCTTAAAACTAAACTACACGCTTGTCTAAAAAAGTTTCAAAAGTACATTATGTTGTCCAACAGCAGCAATATTTGTCAAACTGTTGTGAGCTTATTCCTCTGCATGTCATGTGGGTGGAGTAATACACAAGGGTGAAGAGCTTTAAGAGTGCTGATATTGCAGAACATTGCACCGCTATCAGCCAATCAGCTTCAAGAACCAGACAGAAATGTATATTTATAGGTTTTACATATACCTATTAACAATGAATTGAAGATTTTTTTATATATTTATACATTTTTTTGTACCTGAAAGTAAATGTATATTCGAGTAAACAAAATAAGCTTTCTTTTTAAAAATGTTTAAGAGTGATATTTATATTTTTTGGTGTTGTTTTTTCTTTCAAATAAGATTTGCAGGGTTAATAGAGCTAATTCTAACATTTTAATGTCCACATAAAAATTACACAGTGACATATTTAAATAACATGTCTCATCAGAATTTAATTCATACATATTAAAAAGAAAATGTTTACACATCTACTCAATAATGAGAAGTTATTGATCCGATACAGCATAGCTTTAATAAACAATATTAAAATATTCCTAATATACAGATGTGGATGAAATCATTAGTACTCTTTCATTCATTTATTTTCAGTCATTTTACTTAACCATTACTTTTCTTTACTGTTTCAAGTTATTTCAGCGAAGACTGTAGTTTTTCTTTCTTTAAATGGAAGGCTACAAACAATTATCTCCACGTCGTTTGTATATTATTATGTGTACAAATGACCCCTGGTTGCGATTCTGAATGCGTTATGAGGGTTAAAATGAGCTCACTGTTATGCATAAGCACATTTTTCACCAACACTAAGTTGAAAGCATGAGAACTTCCTTAATGTCCACCATGAACGAGCTAAATGAGTGCATCTAATAGCAACCAAGTACTTCCCCGATTTGAATGCATGCACACAAATGGTCATTTAGATCTGTGGCATTGCTTTCGGTGGACCACCACGGCCGGTGTCTTGGCAGGAAACAGTGGGTCTTACTAATTGAATGAGGAGCTAATCAGAGATCTGAACTAATTTAATGACTGGATATTTGTAATCCCTCCAGGCAAAGAGTACATTCTGCAATTTTCTTCTAATTGATTTGTCTTTCCCCCCTCACTTTTCTTTTCCTGTAATGTTTATGTTCAAGCGAGATCAATGTATAATGGGAGCTGCAATGGCTAACTATGGATTTTTCAGCTTGTGGCTTGTACATAAAATAAAATGTGCTAGTGTTGAAATCCAGTCTAATTCATTTCCATATTCATGCTGCATGTCACATACAGTTGAAGTCAGAATTATTAGCCCCCCTAAATTATTAGAACCCCTGTTTATCTTTTTCCCTCATTTCCGTTTAACAGAGAGAATATTTTTTTCAACACATTTTTAAACAAACATAATAGTTTTAATAACTCATTTCTAATAACTGATTGATTTTATCTTTGCTATGATGACAGTAGATAATATTTGACTAGATATTTTTCAAGACACTACTATACAGCTTAAAGTGACATTTAAAAGCTTAATTAGGTTAAGGTTAGGGTAATTAGGGAAGTTATTGTATAATGATGGTTTGTTCTGTAGACAGTCACGAAAACAAATTTGACAGGAGGGCTAATCAGTTTGACTTTAACTGTATATACTTCTTTTTTAATTCACATTTCATAAAACAGTCACTTTTTATGCTAAACAAAATTTGGTTTTATGCATATTTTTATGTTTGGGAGTGTTAATTAATGTGTCAAGTCCACTTTGTTAGTTTCTGACCCCAGGTGCCCCTCATATCCATATTTCTGATGTCCTGAGCACATTTTTACCCAACTTTGTGTGTGTGTGTGTGTGTGTGTGTGTGTGTGTGTGTGTGTGTGTGTGTGTGTGTGTGTGTGTGTGTGTGCGTGCGTGCGTGTGTGTGTGTGTGTTTTAAATAGTTTTAATTAGTCCCTTGAAGGTGACACGGTGGCTCAGTGGTTAGCACTGTCGCCTCACAGCAAGAAATTTGCTGGTTTGAGTCCCGGCTGAGCCAGTTGCCATTTCTGTGTGGAGTTTGCATGTTCTCCCTGTGTTGATGTGGGTTTCCTCCAGGTGCTCTGGTTTCCCCCACATTCAAAAGACATGCGCTATATGTGAATTGAATAACCTATATTGGTTGTAGTGTATATGTTTGAATGAGTGTGTATGGGTGTTTCCCAGTACTGGGTTGCAGCTGGAAGGGCATTGGCTGTGTAAAACGTATGCTGGATAAGTTGGCGGTTCATTCCGCTGTGGCGACTACTGATGAATAAAGGCACTCAAAGGACAATGAATGAAGTAATAGTTTAATAATTTAATTTAATAGTGCTCCTCTGCATCTCTAGGAGCATTTATTTTTAATGGCACAAGTTATGCAGAAATGCCCACTAATAATCAGAGAAGCTGAAAAATGAATCTCTTCATTGTTTCTGAACTTTGTTGTGTCTTTTTTAGTGTTATCTAATCTAAATCTTATCTAATTGTAATAAAATATAAATTGTGCAACTTACACAGATCTACAGTAAATGCACTTGACACTTTGTTTTCTCATTTCACTTGAACTGCAACAGCCATGATAGGTCAGTGTAATTATACAAGGGCTTGCATCTTGTTTTGTGAGGCACTTTTGTTTATTTCGATAACATTTTTGTCACAAGCCTGACAATTTGCAACTCACAAATTAGTTTTGATAATTGGTATTGGTTTTCAAATTGTTAGTACAGTAAATGTCATAGATGATTACAAAGAAGATGCTGATGAATTGAAATATGTTATTATATATATATGTTTCCATATCTTAGTCTTGTTTTTAAAATATCTACACTTTCAAAGAGTTTATGTTGAACACAAGTGCCATTTGTCATAATTTTTTTTTTTTTAATTTATCATTTTAATTGTTGTTTTGTGTTGTTTCATATGGTTTGGGTATAAATTGAAAAAAAGTTTAGTTTTGTTTTAATTTATTGCTTTTTTTTAGCTTAGCTTAGGTTATCTAGTTTAGTTTAGTTTAGTTTAGTTTAGTTTAGTTTAGTTTAGTTTAGTTTAGTTTAGTTTAGTTTAGTTTTTTTTGCTTTGTTTTGTTTTGTTTTGTTTTGTTTTGTTTTGTTTTGTTTTGTTTTGTTTTGTTTTGTTTTGTTTTGTTTTGTTTTGTTTTGTTTTGTTTTGTTTTGTTTTGTTTTTTTTGTTTCGTTCACAGTCTTCCCTAATGTGAATTATTAGCCCCCTATGAACTTTTTTCTTCGTTTTTAAATATTTCCCAAATGATGTTTAACAGAGCAAGGACATTTTCACAGTATGTCTGATAATCTTTTTTCTTCTGGATGAAGTCTTATTTGTTTCATTTCAGCTAGAATAAAAGCAGTTTTTAATTTTTTAGAATACTATTATAGGGACAAAATTATTAGCCGCTTTAAGCTATATTTTTACTCGACCGTCTACAGAACGAACCATAATTATACAATGTCTTGCCTAATTACCCTAACCTGCCTAGTTAACTTAATTAACCTAGTTAAGCCTTTAAATGTCAATTTAAGCTGTATAGAAGTATGTTGAAAATATCTATTCAAATATGATTTACTTTCATCAAGTCGAGGATAAAATAAATCAGTTATTAGAAATTAGGGTCCCACTTTATATTAAGTGGCCTTAACTAATATGTACTTACACAGGATTTAATAGTTTGCTACAATGTACTTATTGTGTAAATACATGTATTTACTGTGTACTTATGCTTGATTAAATATATGTATGTAACTACATCTGTAATTAACTTTTGTAATTACATTTGTAAATACACTGTTGACCATCCCTAACACCTTAACCCACCCTTAAACCTACCCATAGCACCAAACCTGTTCATAACCCAACCTCTATCCCAACTCAAAAGCACTACAAGTGTTCTCAAATACATTATAAACACAGTAAGTACATTGTATTTATTTTTTAATGTAAGTACATAGTAGTTAAGGACACTTAATATAAAGTGGGACCGAAATTAGTTACTAAAACTGTTGTGTTTAGAATAGTGTTAAAAAAAATCTGCTCTCCGTTAAAAAAAAAATTAGGGAAAAAATAAACAAGTGGTCTAATAATTCAGGGGGGCTAATAATTTTGACTTCAACTGTATATATACAAAAAAAAATGTTTTTGTTTTTATTTATAGTTTTGGTTTGTTAAAATTTATTGTATTGTTTTCATTTTTTGTGTTGTTTTGTTTAAATTTTTGTTTTGTGTTTTTTGTGTAATCTTCCCTGATAAAAAAAAAAATAAATAAATCATTATTTAAAAATACGAAAATATCCCAATGGACCATGATAAAATACATTTGTATTTACACATTCACACAAACATTAGGCAATTGTTAGTGCTTTTACACCCTAGACCTTATAAAGACCTTATAAAGCCGAGGGGGTTTGTAAAGGGCTTCATTAAAAACTGAACTTCCTGGTTAATGACCTGTGGGAGACCAACCTGGACACACTGATCTGCTTTTTAACATTGCTTACACAAATCAGGAGTCAAAAGCAGTATCAGGTGTGTGCTTCTGTGTGTGTGCTTGTGTGTGGGAGTGTAGCTCTCCTCTCTGCATCAGTCTTTTTCCTGTTTTCACACACAAATACTATAACACACACACACACTTCAGTGAGCAGCTGAAGTAGGTTAGTCTTTGCAGCTCCCATCTGCCTCATCTGCTCATTGTTAATGATCTGTGCTTGCATTCTACTGTGCTTCTCTCCATTTTCTCATTCTCCTGCCATCATTGTCTCTCTCACACACACACACACACACATGCAAACGCAAGCTACTTTCACGCTGTGACATTCATTACAGATTTCTCTGCCATTGCTGTTGTTCATTGCTTGATGCCGTTCTCTTGCATTACTTAATTTTTTCTTTCTCTCTCTTTTTTTCCCTCTCTATTTTGTGTTCCCTTTTTCCTTATGTACTTGTTTTGTCGTCCGACTCTTCCATTTGCCGCTCCCTTCCGATCTGCATTCAAACCTTATGCCTCTGTGCCATTTGTGGGTGTATGGATGGATATTTTATGAGTGACATTTTTTAAAATTGATATTCCTTCCTACTTTCCAACTTCTGTGTGTCACGTCCACCTTTTCCCCATGTGAATATATATATATGTGTGTGTGTGTGTGTGTACTGGGTCCTGAAGTCCACCGCTGGAAGCGCGTAGCAGGCTGCTCCTGAAATGCTCCAAGTGTGGGGTGATCTCCAGTACTGCCCTGTCCAGCTCTACCGCCAGCAGCGCCATGTTAGTCTCATTCCATATTCTCTCTTTGCCTCTTTCTTTCTCTTTCTCCATTTTCTTTCTTTTTTCTTTTTCTCTTTTGCTCTATCTCTCTTTCTGCAGCCTCTCAACACTGACAGTAAGAAACAGAAACTCTTCAAAGAGCCTCCCTCCTGTCGACACACTACAAATATACATACTACAACTACATATTTATTTATTTATTTATTTGTTTGTTTGTTTATTTGTTTATTTGTTTATTTATATGTTTGTTTGTATATGTATTTATTTATTTATTTATTTATTTATTTATTTATTATTTATTTATTTATTTAGTCTATCTTCCTATCTCAGCTTCATACCTATGTCTGTCTGTCTGTCTAACTAGTTATCTAACTATTTATTTAGTCTTTTTTTTTTTTTTTTTTGGTTTTATTTGATTTGATCTTACTTTTATTTGATTTTATTATTATTTTAAAAAAATGCAGATCAATAAAGATATAACCAAGACATAACCTAAGACATTAAATGCTTAAGGTATTAATGTCATAAAGGTATGGAGGACAAAACTCCAATACAAAATAAATATGCAAATAAATAGATAAATTAATTAATAAATCCACAAATTCCTACATAAATAAAACAATAAATAAATAAATATGCAAAGCATGTTGAGCTGAGGAGCAGTAAATACGGAACTTCATTCAAAAGTGATTAAACGTTTGAAAGGGGGAAAATCAATTTTGAGTTTAGCATTTTCTTATTTTCTTATTCCGCCAACATTTATGTAATTTATTTAATTATCAATCTGCCCACACTATCTATTATATATATATATATATATATATATATATATATATATATATATATATATATATATATATATATATATATATATATATATATACAGGAATTTGTAGATTTTAATATATTTATTTATTTATTTGCATATTTATTTATTTATTGTTTTATTTATGCATGAATTTGTAGATTTTTATATATTTATTTATTTATTTGCATATTTATTTATTGTTTTTGCAGGTTTCATCCTTCATATATAGGTACCACAAGATATACTATTGTACCTTTAAGATACTAATGTGTGCCTTGGGGGTACAAACGTACCAATGCCCCAGTGACAACTTTTTACCATTATTTCTGAGAGTGTACAAAAACGCTGTCAACTACCTTGGCAAGTGTTTTAACACAAGCTTAAAACATGTAATTGAATAAATTTACATCTGTATTCTGCATTGTCCTCTTGATTGACAAAACTTGCATTTGCATTTTTTATTTTATTATTTTAATTTTTTTTGCCAATTGACTGCATTTCTTAAGCTAAATTATCTGCCAGTGGGGTATACATAAAATAATGTTGTTTTTGGTTTGAATTCAGAATATTTTACTCAGCCCACTATTAGGTAATTTAGCTTTATTTAAAGAAAAATACACTTCATTTTGATTTGTTATTTGTTTGTTTTTCTAAGTATTTGGAATACAAAATACACTTTATATACATGTTTTTTTTTTTTTTAACTAAAAGTGATATCCAAAATATAGGGCTTTTAAAATATTGTTTACTTTAAAGCTAGTTTTTTTTTTAGCTTATTTTAATTGTTCATAACCAAATGTATTGTTTTATTGATTACCATGGCAAACACACACACACACACACACAAACAAACACAAACACACACAAAGACGGAGGTGTGTGCTCTTTTAGAAGAGGTAAAGAATCAGCGTGTGGATCAAGGGCCACCTCTGATTCTTTTGGCTTTGGTTAAATTGGACTTGTCTCCGCTATTTGCTGGAGGGAGTCGTGTTATTGAAATGATAATGAAATGAATGATATTGCTTCTCTGTTTCTCTTTCTCTTTGTCATGTTTTTCCCCCATCTCATTCTCGCTGTCTGCTTTTTTTTTTTCCTTGTCTCTGCTATCCGAGTATAAATATGGGGCATGTGTGTGTGGCGCATTGCAACTTCAATCATAGAAATTAATGAAGAGGACTTCCTGAAGGAAGTTTGGGAAAACCATGTTCACACGATCCCACCAATTTCATCATTTCCACCAGTTTCAGCTCCATCTTTCTTTCCACAGTTAGTCAGCGGAGGACATTGAATTTGAGATTTGAGTTATGCTATTTTACATTGTCTTCCTGCATTTCTGCATTGTTCTTATATGAGCATGAGAACTCATATGGTGCAGTGCCTTTCACTAATATTACAACCCATGGTATATAGGAAATAATAAGGCTGTGGAAAAAAAGTATGTTTTTTTGCTTTACATATAGACAATTTTGTTTGTAAACAACACCAATGATCCTAATATATTTCCTGTTTTAAATTTGTAATTTCTATAGCTTCCAACGATAAAAAAACTTCACATATTATTAAATAATCCTATGGCAGATGTTTTAATGTAAAGTTATCATTAAATTGCTAAACAAAATTGTTACAGTTATGAAATAGTTTGACAACAAGCAGGAAATGTTCATAGACCAATGACATGACCACATTGAAATGGTCAATATATAAGAATTGATATAATTTTATGGGATTTATATAAATCTTACATAAATATGAGATATCAGATTTATAAGACATTATAGTTTTAATAATTCGTTTTCTAATAAATGATTAATTTTTTTCATTGCAATGATGATAGTACATCATTTTTTAACAATATTAGTGGAGGCCACTGTAGATTTGCATATGAGCAAATCTCTTCCTCTCTGTCTCATTGCTTACGTTTGTCCCGTCGCAGCCACATGCAGGAGACTGAGTCAGGGCAGCGTGAAGATGTTTAAATGGGTGGCCAGCTGTGGTGAAACCTGAGCTCAAGCGGACACTCTTTACTGACACCTGATATTTACCTAAGTAGCTCTGCGAGATGCAGAACCAAAACACTCCTGTAGGATTAGCAGCGTGATGTTAACATGTCAGGGTGTGTTAGCATGAATGCGCAGCATTACAAACAGCAATTATTTATCTGTTTTACAAACAAACACAGAGTGCGTTCTAAATAGATTGACTGACCATATGTCTGCTTATTGAAGAAAAGAAAAAAAGATTATTATTATTATTAGTAGTAGTAGTAGTATTAGTATTATTATTTTAATATTATTATTATTATTATTATTATTATTATTATTATTATTATTAAATTATTATTATTATTATTATTATTATTATTATTATTATTATTGTTAATTTATTATTATTATTATTATTATTATTATTATTATTATCATCACTTTTATTATTATTATTAATAATAATAATATTTTTATTAATATTATTATTATCATCACTTTTATTATTATTAGTTGTACGTTTTTTCATAATTGTCTTATTTTTGTTAACTTTTCTTGCAATTTCTCAGATTTTTGAGATCTAAATTTTTTTTTTTCGTATTTCTTCTCAACAAAATTGCATTTTTATCTTTTGCGATTCTGAGTTTATATCAATACTGGTTGTTTTCTCAAAACTGTGAAACAAAAAAAGCCTAGGTATCACATAAAATATAGCTTATCATATAGATCAAAATACAATATATATTCACAATTCAAAAAGCAATAGTTTAATATTAATAATTAAGTTATGAGAAATAACCTTGCAAAAAAATTAAAAATAAATAAACAACAACAACAACAACAATAATAATAATAATAATAATAATAATAATAATAATAATAATAATAATAATAATAATTAATTAGTATTGCAAAATAATTTATTTTAGTATTGCATAAAGTTACGTTTTTATATTTTTTTATTTAAAATTTGTTTTATTTAGATTTTTTACTTTAAGTTTTAGAAATTTATCGTGTTTTTCATTTTTCATATATTTTGTTAAATGTCAGTTTGTTATTGTTATTATTATTTTTATATTTTATTATTATTTATTATTAATATTTTTTTATTATTTATTAATTTGTTTATTTTTAGGTTGCATTAATTGAAAAACAGGCATGTCTCCTAAAATAAAAAATGAAAAATGTAATAGTTTTATTTCAAGTAACAAACACAAACATAGCTCATAAGTTTAACTATTATAATTCTGTCTCACATAAACTTTGTTTTTTAAACATCATTACATAGACACGTTTTTTTTTTTTAACAGTAATATTATATGCATTCTTAAATGTGACACTTTGAATAAACATTTTTAAATATCACCTAAGCATTCTCTCTTACTCAGCACGTTCCATATTCAAAACATTCAGCAACCACAACATGTGGGCTTTCAGGTTTGAAGTGAATGCAATGACTCATCAAGTATAAATGATTTATACTTAATTAATAATATCAATATACTTTATTTATCATCAGTCATCTACGCTGTGCTGACACTCAGTTAAATGCCTGTGCTGTAGTGCTGGTTTCTAAACCCTCTCAGTGCTTTCATCGCTCAGCTGTAATCGCAATAATATTTGCTCTTAATGGCTGATCCAGGTTCAGTGTTGTTTTTCGCCACCTCTCTGCATGGAGGATGATCTTTGCATTTGCTTTGTGCTCTTTCTCTGTTCAGGGCATCTTTATGGAGCTCTTGTGTGGTTCTCCCTCTGCTGGCCCTCACATGGATGTCAGCTGTTCTGGCCATCACAGATCGCCGCTCGACCCTCTTTCAGGTGCTCTTCGCGGTCTTTGACTCCGTCCAGGGATTCGTCATCATCACTGTGCATTGTGCCATGCGGAGAGAGGTCAGTGTGTTATACAGTATACTTGTGAAGCAACTAGTATATGTCTCACTATAATTAAGTTATTAATTAGAGAATATTATTAACTCTGTTAATAAGTTGTGTGTAGGGTCAGTTGTATGAAAAAGTAGCCTGTTTCACTTTGACTTTAGGCAGTCTTCTACTTTTCGCACATGAGCTGATGTGACAAATATACTGAGAGTAAACATGGTAAAGATTACCTTAGCTATGGCCTTTTTAAAATTAAAACACTGTATATTGTACAGTACAGTATGTGTTGAAGGACTGATGCAAATGTTACTATACATACACTACCTGACAAAAGTCTTTTCATCGATCCCAGTTGGAAAAGCAACAAATAATAGCTTGACTTCTAGTTGATCATTTGGAAAAGTGGCAGATGGTCGTTTTCTCCAATAAATCATGTGTTGAACTGCATCCCAATCATCACAAAAACTACAGAAGACCTATTGGAACCCGCATGAACCAAAGATTTTCACACAAATCAGTCAAGTTTGGTGAAGGAAAAATCATGGTTTAGGGTTACATTTAGCATAGTGGAGTGCGAGAGATCTGCAGAGTGGATGGTAACATTAAGAGCCTGAGGTATCAAGACATTTGTGCTGCCCATTACATTACAAACTACAGGAGAGGGCAAGTTCTTCAGCAGGATAGCACTCCTTCTCATACTATAGCCTCCACATCAAAGCTCCTGAAAGCAAAGAAGGTCAAGGTGCTCCAGGATTAGCCAGTCCAGAAATGAACATTATTGAGCATGTCCAGGGTAAGATGAAGGAGAAGGCTCTGAAGATGAATCTAAAGCATCTTAATAAACTCTGGGAGTCCTGCAGGAACACTTTCTTTGCCATTCCAGATGACTTTATTAATAAGTTATTTGAGTCATTGTAGAGATGTATGAATGCAGTCCTCCAAGCTCATGGGAGTCATACACAATATTAATTATTTTTCCAGTGCACCATGATTTTATATTCTACTGTATACTGTAAAGTATTTCTGATAAATGACAAGACTTTGGTCTAAGCAAAGTCAGACCTTACTGTCCTAATGAAATAATTAAAAATCAATAATTAAAAATTTTGCCTTTCATATAAGCCTCTTCTGATACCAAAATGATCAACTAGAAGTCAAATTATTATTTGTTGTTCCTAAAACTTGGATAAGCGACAAGACCTTTGTCAGGCAGTGTATGTACACATTATACATAATATGTTTATTCTTTTTTCTGAAAGCTGCTGATTATATTTCTACCAAATTTAAAATGACATATTTTGTCATTTAGAGTTGTTGTTTTTTTTTTTTAAATAAAAAAATTACATAAGTTTTTGTTCAATTTTAGACAACACCCTATCAATGTCTTAACATCAAATGTGCTAAGAAATCAATATTTTGTTAAATAACCCTAATTGAGATGCATACATTTTCTAAAAGCTGAATAAATAAATGTTAATTTACTGTATACTTTGCAATTGTAGTACACTATTTGATGAAGAAACAGCTATAAGAAAATCTGAGGGTTCAGAAAGAAAAAGAACATTGGACTAAAATATAATTTTAAAAATTAATGAATGAATGAATGAATAAATAAAGTTTTATTTTATTTTATTTTATTTTATTTTATTTTATTTTATTTTATTTTATCTTGTTTTATTTTATTCTATTTTATTCCAAAAGCTTAAATTATACATGTGCAACATTAGAATTGTAAGAACTTTTGTAGTCTATGGTTTCATATGGATAAATAATGTTGTTTTAAATCCACAATATGAAACTTGTAAATGACAAATATTTTCTTAGGGGCTCAGAGATCCTTAAATAAGATTTCTGGTTCTAAATAAGCCTCCATGTGTCCAAAACATGTTACAATTAAATTTTTTAATGGGTGTTTTCTGTCAATCAAAATGCAAGATAAAAAATTAAATAAATCTTGTTTTTCTAAGTCAATAAAATCTAAGGCTTTTATGACACAGACATACAGTATAGCACTTAAGAAAAACCAACTGCAGTCTCCATCACAATCGTATGTGTGTGTGATTGCTCCTAACAATCATAGAAATCAAAAGTTTGACTGTTCTACCGCCCAATCCTAGAGGACAATCAGAGGTTTATTTAAATGGAGATTGAAGGAGGAGTTTTATTCCACTCCATTATTTTAAGACCCACTTAGGATATAAAAAAAACTTGGCTCAAACAGCTAACGCAATATTTATTTATTTTTTTTTTTTTTTGCAAAATAGCATGCACTGCTTATAGGTGATAACGGTCTGCTCCAACCGGCCATAAATAAATCAAACCATAGTCACTTTGTAGAGAATCCCACATGTAATATACAGTACGCTACCTGACAAAAGTCTTGCTGCCTATTCAAGTTTTAGGAACAACAAATAATAACTTGATGTCTAGGTGATCATTTGGCATCAGAAGTGGCTTATATAAATGGCAAAGCCCTCTAGATTATGTGTGTTTTACCTAAATAAAATATGATCATGACTTGATTTTTAAATATTTCATTAGGACAGTAAGGTCTGACTTTGCTTAGACAAAAGTCTTGTCACTTAACAGAAATAATATACAGTATAGAATATGAAGTCATGGTGCACTGGAAAAAGAATTAATTTTGTGTATGACTCCCATGAGCTTGGAGGACTGCCTCCATACATCACTGCAATGGCTCAAATAACTGATTAATATAGTAATCTGGAATGGCTAAGAAAGTGTTCTTGCAGGACTCCCAGAGGTCATCAAGATGCTTTAGATTTATCTTCAATGCCTCCTCCTTCATCTAAACCCAGGCATGCTCAATAATGTTCATGTCTGGTGACTGGTCTGACCAATCCTGTAGCACCTTGACCTTCCTTGCTTTTAGGAACTTTGATGTGGTGGCTGAAGTATGAGAAGGAGCACTATCCTGCTGAAAAATTTGCCCTCTCATATATAGTTTGTAATGCAATGGGCAGCACAAATGTCTTGATACCTCAGGCTGTTAATGTTGCCATGCGCTCTGCAGAACTCTCGCACACCCCCATACTGAATGTAACCCTAACCATGATTTGTCCTTCACCAAACGTAACTGATTTCTGTAAGAATCTTGGGTCCGTGCAGGAACCTTCTACCACTTTTCCAAATGATCAACTAAAAGTCAAGTTATTATTTGTTGCTCTTACACCTGGGATCAACGACAGGACTTTTGCCAGGTAGTGTAGTTCAAATCTGACCATTTCAACTCTCTAGAAAAAAAACTTGGCCGACTTTCATATATTGTAAATGTGTTTCTAGAGTTTACAGAGGGAGAGGAAAAATCAGTTCCAATTTGCTAAGCCATATATGTTAAATCAATATCGCAAAAAACCAAAGGATTAGAGTCAAATAAATCTGGGTATTATTTTAGTAAATATATGAAAATCCCCTCGCAAGGCTTTGATGTAATCCTTAATAGCTTTAGCAAAACAAGGGAGTGGAGTTTGTGCAGCGGATCCTAGCGCTGTATGCCGTTTTATGTGCGAATTACACTGAAATGGCAGAACTGACAATGGAAAGGCAGCGTTCGTGATTAGCACAGACAAATGAATGGAAAAAGGTTGGAGAGAATAGTTTGTCATTATGTTTTAGTGAATACAGAGAGTCATTCTGGTTAGGGCTGTGCATTATGATGATATACAGTTGAAGTCGAAATTAGTAGCACTTCTGTGGAGTTTGTATTCTTTTTCTAATAGTTTTCATATCATGTTTAACAGACAAATGAATTTCAATGGAATTTATTTTTTTTTCTTCTTTGGAAAGTCTTATTTATTTTAGTTTGCCTGGAATAAAATAAGACATTTTTTTTATTTTTTAAGGTTTTATTTATTTGATTGTTTGTTTGTCTGTTTATTTATTAAGTTATTTATTTATTTAGTTATTTATTTGTTTAATTTTTTTACAGAACAAACCACTGTTGTCCAAAGACTTGTACTATTATAAAACCATTATGTTTAAAATTGTGTTGAAAACAATCTTTTATTTTTTAAATAGTTTAAATGGTTTAATAATTTTGACCTCAACTGTGTATTGTGTGGACAAAACAAAAAAGCTATCAATATATAATGTTTTATCATATATTTTGTCACTAAATTACAAAATACACTGTTTGTAAAAATATTTTTTTCATAATTTATGTGAGCACAGTATAACCCGCCATTATGAGGATGTACACAGGAACATAAATATCATCATCGTGAAACATGTTTAATCTTGAAAGTACAATGTTTACAATTAGCGTTTTATTAGCTGTATTTTTTAATGTCGGACCTGTTATCATTCGTTTTTGAAAAATATTTTAAAAGTTAGGCATATTTATTTAATATTTTACGTCTTTATATAAATAAATATTTATATATAAATAAAAAAAAATATATATATATATATATATATATATCACACTTGTAGCAGTGCGATGTGGCTATATATCAGCAGTGGTGGGAGGCATTTTACGAATGAAAGGCTGAACACTATGGAATAAATTACTATGGAATAAATACAGTGCTACAATATACAAAAGAGAGAGGTCAACTTAGAAAGTCACTTACCAATTTAAAAATGATTTGACCAGAAGATTCAAGAACCAGACAGAGCTATATATATAAATATATGTTTTTTTTTTCATTTAATTGTTTATTAATAACCCCTTCTCTGACAATTAAACTCCTTACATATGAGGGGGGAAATAAATAAAATTATAAAAAAAATTATTTAAAAAAATTATAAAAAACACCAAAAAAAATAAATAAATATACAACAAATAACAACAATAAATAAATAACTTTAGTACATTGCACATCTTACATTGAAAGTCAAATAATAAGTGTACATATTGAAATATCTTTTTTATCAAATGCCATGAGTTTTAAATAAAGTGTGAAATATTATCAGATATGAATGAGCACATTTTTGAGTATATCATTTAAAATGCAAAAAAGGAAATAGGCTTTTCCATGCGGTCATTATTCATTTATTTACTTTCCTTCAGCTTAGTCCCTTATTTATCAGGGGTTGCCACTGCAGAATGAAGGCCTGTGTTCAATACATAAACTATTAATTGATTGAGTTGTTTCTATTCTCATCAGATTATGAGATGATTTATATGATATGAGCTTTTTGTCATATCGCCCAGCCCTAATTCTGATCATCTGCAGCTTTACTCAGCAGTCATCGAAACCATGTCTTGCACCATCTTACGAAACAGCCCAGAGTTCCTGCACATCGTAATTTTAGTTGTGCAGACTGATTACTGATTCCAGTCTTGGCTGGTGAATAGTGTTGCAGCATGATAACTCATGCTCGGCTGAATAGAAAGAGTAGGGATTTACTAAACAGGGCAGAGAATGTGCAGTCAATAAATAAAGTGTTTCGGCGGCATATGCTTGATGCTATTCTGAGGACGCCAGTAGATTAAAGTGTCATTTGTTCAGAGCATAACCTTTGCAAAGCATAAAGGTCGTGGCAGATCAACCTCTGGGGATGTGAACAACATTTTGTAGAATTAACATGCGTCTCAAATGGACGTCTCATGAACGCTTATGGCTTTTGTTTTGGGAAGTGACTGAGATCAGATGCAGCAAAGAAAAAGAAGGTATAATCTGTATTACTACCACTACTACTACTGCTTTATTTATTTATTTGCTTATTTATTTATTTAATTTTATATTTATTTATTTGTCCATTCATTCATTCATTCATTCATTCATTCATTCATTCATTCATTCATACGTTTATTTGTTTATCCTTCCATCCATTTATCTGTTTATTTATTCATCCATCTATGTATTTATTTTACTGCATTTATCTATTTGTTCATTCATCCATTCATCTATTTATTTGTTCATCCATCCATTCATTTATTTTTTTCATTTTTTTATTCCTTTGTTAGTTCATTCGATTGCTTGTTTATTTATTTATTTGTTTATCTATCCATTTATTCATCCATCCATCCATTTATATATGCATTTATCTATGTATTTGTTAATTCATTAAATTATTTATTTATTTATTGTTTTTTATTTATTTATTCATGCATTCATTCATTTATTTGTTTATTTGCTCATACATCCATTAATTCATTTATTTATTTATTCATTTTCTAATTCGTTCGTTCATTCGTTCATTTATTCGCATGTTCATCCATCCATCCATTCATCCATTTATTCATTTATTTATTCATCCATTTATTTATTTATTTATTTATTTATTTGTTTGTTTATTTATTTATTGTTTATTTATTTATTTATACATGGATTCATTTATCTATTTATTTATTTGCTCATCCATCTATTTATTTTTTCATTTCTTTCTTTCTTTCTTTCTTTCTTTCTTTCTTTCTTTCTTTCTTTCTTTCATACATTCATTTATTCATTTATTTATTCATTTGTTCTTTCATTCATTAATTCAATCATTTATACATTTATTTGTTCATCCATTCATTTATTTATTCCATCATTTTCGTTTCGGCTTAGTCCCTTTATTAATCTGAGGTCGCCACAGAGGAATGAACCGTCAACTTATCCAGCACGTTTTTATGCAGCGGATGCCCTTCCAGCTGCAAACTATCCCTGGGAAACATCCACACACATCTATTCAAACTCATACACTACAGACTGTTTAGCATACCCAATTCACCTGTACCCCCTGTCTTTGGACTGTGGGGGAAACCAAAGCACCCGGAGGGAACCCACACGAATGCAGGGAGAACATGCAAACTCCACACAGCAGCACTAACTGACCCAGCCGAGGCTTGAACCAGCGACCTTCTTGCTGTGAGGCGACCACCTGTTAATAATGTTTCTAAAATTATTATGAATGTCTTACTTTGGGTTCAAGAGGAAACAAATAAATACATAAAGGTTTAAAACAACTTGAGGGTCAGTAAATAGTGAGTAAATTTCAATTTTTGGAAAATATCCCTTTAAATATTGTGAAATTTAATTAGTTTAAAATGATTAATTTAAAAATATTATTGATTCCTAAAAGCTGTTTGACTCTTTACTTCAGTCTTCAGTGTCACAAATAATACAATCAGCATTTCAGTGAAAACTTTAAGAAAAATTCTGATGAATAGAAAATTCATATTTACAGCATTTATTGGCAAAGAAAATATTTTGTATTATTTTTATTTTAATAAATACATAGGTAGTAATGTATGAGGCTTTCATTGTGATCTAATTGTTTGATACTATATCCATTTGATTCTTCTCTGTTCCCAGTTCTGCATTTTTCCCTGAAAGTTTTTGAGTGATGAAAGCAGAGTTCAACTCTAATGTCTGTTAAAGTCCAGTCTAAGACATTCTCAGTTGGCATTATTATGTTCTTTGTTAGCAACAAGAGCTCTGATCTACTCGGTTAGGAGACGTTGTGCTTTCACTTGGTCATTCCGTAGGCGTTGTGGCCATAAATCTGTATGCAAATGAGGGGCATCCCGTTGCTAAGGCTACACTGTCGTCAGGGGAAACAGCCTATCATGTTGTCTTTTTTTTAAGGGAAGGGAGTGTCTTTCTGCCTATTGTTGTAAAGCGTATGCATCTGCAGTTATGCAAACCCCTCCTGTGGAAATGCAAACAGGCTTACTGCAATGTTTGCCACTGAGGAATATGAAATAATATCAAAGTAGCTTGAAAAAATCTCATATGTATGCTCTCTGTAGATTAGTAAAATAGCTAGTTTAAACCAATTGATTCTCCTGAGCGTATAAAAGCTGCTGGTGTCTTTAGGATATTTACTGTCATCATTAGTTGTTACCACAGGACAGCGGGAAGAAATTCAGCCCCCCTGCTTTTTTTACGTAATAAACACCCCAGATAGCATGTGAATGTGGGCCACTGGTGGTATTCTTTCGGCCCACAAAATAAATCTGAGCCTGAAGTGGCCCACCTGTACAATGACAAATTGTGGCCAAAGATTCTAATTTATGTATGGGTCATTTAAGGAAAAGATTTGGCACTTATGGCAAAACGTAATCTGAATGAGAGCCTAATATGGTCCATGTGGAAAATGGTAAATTTGGCCCAAATGATGGAGTACAAATGTGGGCCACAGTTGGCAAAAATGTGGCCTAGTCATTAAGAGGGAATCTGGATCTAAACCTAAAGTGGCTCACACGTGTAAGTGCAAATGCAGCTTTTGGCAAATATTTGGCACAGTAAGCTCTGTCTTTATACATCAAACTTTATTATATAAAATACTGTGAAGAGATGGCGGCAATTTTACTGATCACACAATAGAAGGATACACAATGAAGATATATAGTACTATATTCCAGCTCATTATCTGCGTTAGATGGTTTTTACAGAGGTTAAAGAGATCATCTTCAAAACAGGACCCTCTGTATGAAATTTCTACAAAATCTATACTAAAATGAAAGAGAAAGAAAAGTTTGTACAGCAGTAGAATGAAGTGGCAGAGAAGCTGACTAAATTATTCTCAGGAAAACGCTGTTGCAGTCAATCATTGTTTACTTCACTAATATTGATTGAATATGCCTTGATAGAAGGTTTGCTAATGTTATACTCCCACATCAAAGTATTTTGTAGTATTTTCAAAATACAAAATACAGTATTTTATGTGGATACATTTGTGGCTGCTGTATTTTTTAGTTTATTTTGATACATGTAAAATTAAGGTATTTGGTATTTCATTTTAAAGTACATTTCAATGTATTTTTGCCCATCCCTTCACGCACAGATGTTTTGACAAGTCTAATTCATTATTTGCAATCATTCTATTGTCCAATCAGCTAAGACCGAACCCCTATAAATAGTCAAGAATGCCCTACATCTGTATTCTTTCAGCCCCCTGCCACCACAACTCTACCTTTTAACCGGATTCCTATTTAAATCAGAGCCATTTAAAGGGGACCTGTTATGCAAAAAAAAAAAAAAAAAACACTTTTATAGGGGATTTAAGCACAGCTGTGCGCAAAAGTGTGTAAATATAGCCAGCCTCTAAAAGTGCAAAAAAATATTAATTCTATTTTTTATTTATATTTTTTCAAAGGTATCATTTGCAAACTGGAAATATAAGCACTACTTTTCCCTCATTGAGGCGAAAGGCAAGAATGTTTATGTATCATGCAACTTATGCCCAGGAAAAAAAACAGTCTCTCTGCGTCGGTGGCAAGTAATTTAATCTAATGAAGCACCTGACGGCGTCACATGCCACCACAAATGCAGGGGATAACATGAGCTCTGCTACCAAAGGATGACGTCAAAACAAAAACAATTTGTCTCCACAGCAAACTCTTATTACTCAGACAGAACTAAACAAAGTAATATCTAGATATGTAGTTGATAACATGCTGCCGTTGCCTCTTACATTGTCCCATAACACCATTAAAATAGTCTAGATTAGTGTACAGAGTTTTATATTTATTTTATAGTCATTTGACCAATACATTTTTTTGTTAAAGTAATCCAATAGTTACTTTCCCTGGTAATTGGTTATTTTTATAATTATGTAACTCTGTAACTTTAACTATTTACTTTTTTAAAGGAACATGCCCTACACTACTTATCAGAGGTGGAAAGTCCAGCCCATTAGTGATGATCTTAGTTAACATACACAGTTAGCTAACTTACTGTTTTTTTTTTTATGTCTTTCTTATAGGTATTAGGCGAGGCTAATATTCTTAACCACGTCCCCCAACTGTCATTTTTGACAACAAATCACTAACGTTGGTATCTGTGTTAATGTTTTTTTTTTTTCTGTTTATTTTTTTTCTTTTATGGCCAGAACTTATTTTCCCAACCCTGATAATGTCTCCCAAATGTTTTCTTATTTGTTTAGGTGCAGTCTTGTTTTCTTATTTCATGGTTTTAGATTTGAATTAGCATATCTGTGAGTCATCCTGGTTGTATCCCATCTCCCCACCTCAGGTGCAGGACGCAGTGCGCTGCAGGATGGGTGGCTGCAAAGACGACAGTGAAAACTCTCCGGATTCCTGCAAGAACGGCCAGGTGCAGATCATGGTGAATAGCATTCCATTCCATCTCATCTCACGGGGGACACTAAAGGGGATTTTTCACTGAAGAATTGTTTTCATACTTACAGCATTGGTGAAAATACCTGACTTTGTTTTTGAGTGAAGGTATTATGCTATAGGGAATATCCATTTCCATTTCACAGGATTAATTAAACATTATAACTTATACATTTTCATTGCATCCTTGTTATCATAAAACTCACAGCAAACAACAAAAACATAGCTCTGATCATGCCCTATTCCATGCAGTTGTTGACACCTAAATGCAGTAAATAAATGGTGTTTTTGTCAGCTGACTTGGATCACTTCACAGCAGAGAATCCCTAAGTAGAGCCTGTTGGCCAGAGTTGGTCTATTGTAACCTTTGATTTGGCTCATCATCTCATCTGAGAAGAAAGTGAGAATGATAGAGAGGTTTGGGGGGTTATTGCTGAGCCACATTAAAAGCAAACTGAAAGTTAATGCTGTAAATGAATCTGAGGTGTTATAATGTAAATGCTGTCACTCGACAAATAGAGAAGAAGACCTCAGTAAGCAAATCAAGGCAAAAACTGGTTTAGCTCCATTATGTTATAAATCAGATTATTAAATATAGATTGTTGTTGTTTTTACTGTAATAAGTTAATTTTAAATATATATATATATATATATATATATATATATATATATATATATATATATATATATATATATATATATATATTATTAAATAAATTAGGAAATTAGTCATGTTAACTATAATTACCTTCGGCTCACTAGCCTCAATAAATATTGGTTTTTGGCCCTTCATAAGAAATAGTTTGGGCACCCCTGCTTTAGAGTTTCTATTGTTAGTGTAAATACAACCAGGACAAAATCCTTTTCTTTCACTGTAAAACCCAAAAAGTTAAGGTAACTCAGACTGTTTTAGGAAACCAATTGCAACAAACTATTTAAGTTCAAAAGCTAATCCTAATGAGTCCTGTAAACTAAATCTATTAGAGTAAATGAAGCAATTTGAGCACAGTAAAACCCAATAAATAAAGAGAACTCAAACCAACTGAGTATTGTAAAACCCAATAAGTTAAGGCAACTCAAACCGCTTGAGGAAACCGATTGCAAACCATTTAAGTAAAAAACTAATCTATATGAGTACTGTGAACTTACTCCATTTAAGTTGAAGTAATGAGGTATTTAATTAACTCATTACCTTCAATGTCGAGTTTAAAACTCTTTTCAAATGAGTAGAATTGAATTTCAGTCAATTTTGAGTTAACTACACTCATTTAATTTGATATAGTTAACTGTTGGATTTTACAGTACACTTAAGTTAAAATATCCACCAGTTGGGTAAGTAAAATATTCGTGATTTTGGTTTGAATTTAGATTATTTTACTTTATTTACTGGCAGATAATGTAGTCTTTTTTGACTACACTCATTTAATTTTGACTTATTATTTCTGAAATAATAATACTTATTTCTTCTCGTGTGTCTAGAAAAAATCTTCTTGATTTAAGAGTTTTGAAATATTTGGACTAGAGACAAGACAAAAATTCTTGTTTTTTGTATTGTAATAAATTAACTCCTATAACTAAACAGCACAGAAGCCTCATAAGAGAGTCAGTTACTACTTCTCTATTAAATAAAAAAGGCTAAAAGGGTTTCTTTCAAGTCTTTCCTTGTTGTAAAGCACTCAAATCAAAAGTATTTTGAATAGCATTACATACAGTTGAAGTCAGAATTATTAGCCCCCCTGAATTATTAGCCCCTGTTCATTTTTTCCCCAATTTATGTTTATAAGAGAGACAACTTTTAACACATTTCTAAACAGAATAGTTTTAATAACTCATTACTGATTTATTTTATCGTTGCCATGATGACATACTATTTTGCTAGATGTTAAAATTAGGTTAACTAGGCAGGTTAGGGTAATTAGGCAAGTTATTGAATAATGATGGTTTGTTTAGTAAAGTATCGGAAAAAAATAGCTTAAAGGGGCTAATAATTTAGTTCTTAAAATGGTGTTTAAAAAAATTAAAAACTGCTTTTATTTTAGCCGAAATAAAACAAATAAAACTTTCTCCAGAAGAAAAAAAATTATCAGACATACTGTGAAAATTTCCTTGCTCTGTTAAACATCATTTGGGAAATATTTAAAAAAAAAAAAATTTAAAAAGGGTGTTACTAATTCTGGCTTCAACTGTATATCAAATTATTTTTGAAGGTCAAACTGCTTAAAAAATTAACCTATCAATAATTATAGTATGTACATGAAAGCATTCAAGTAACATTCTTAGTACTTAAAACCTTATGGGGTATTTTAATATAGTTTTTAAGCCTGTTACTCAGAACCCTGCAGTGATTTGTTATGTCAAAGACTAGACTTGCTTGTAACCATGGTAACTACAGCAGGAACTCTCCAAGTGTGTGTGTGTGTGAATCAGTTTGGATGAGAGGGATCACTGCATCCTCCTCTCTGCATCCTCTTCACAACTCACCCCTCACTTTTTCTTTCTCTCTACTTTCTCTTCAATCTGCCCCATTACCAGCAGAGGTGCTCGCACCGTCCTAGTCTCTACAGTCAGGAGCAGTGTGGCTCGCTCCGATATTCACCCGGGTGCTGCCAAGGCTGCCACCAATCCTGCCCCGCCCACCCCCCACTAGCTTTGGCCAATCACGGTCACGGACACAGCCATAACCACGCCCATATTCTCCACCAGAACCACACTCAGACTCTCAACCACAACCATCTTATGAACCACAATCATGTCCATACTCTTGACAAGAACCACACGCAGACTTTGAACCACAACCACATTCATACACTCAACCACAACCATGCGCTCAACCACAACCATGCACTCAACCACAACCATGCGCTCAACCACAACCATGCGCTCAACCACAACCATGCGCTCAACCACAACCAAGCCCACATTCTCCACCAGAGCCAAAGCCTAGTCCTGGAGCAAAACCACATGACCGTACGTCTTTGAAATGAGCGTGTTTGCAGTAGAGTTAGTTCTGTCAATTTTAGAGTGTAGATGACAACCCAGTGTGAGCATATTAGCCGGCTAATTAGATAAGTGGCTAGCTGTGAGCAGATCCAACTTCAAGGTATTTAGTGCAAAGTAACTGCTTAGTTGCCGTGGCTGTGCGGTAGAGATTTTGCCTAGTCACAGGTGTTATTTCATCTCATGCATTTTCATTTCCATGTGCAGGTGTTCTTGTACATAGTTTTTTCTCGTTTCAGATGCTAAAATTGCTCAACAGTGTAATGCCCTGACTAAAGCACTGTTTTGAACTCCGTTGAGAGTCAATTCTTTTGGCAGAAGTAGCCGACACTGCATTCCAATGAGGGCCTGAGGTTAAAAAGAGCCACTCTAGGACAGACATTTTGGGTTTACCCTGAGGGACACAGTCAGTTTGTGTCCATTGTACTCGTACTATTTGTTTTGTTGTTTGGAAGATTAAGCCCAGCTGTGTCAGACTGCGGTATGCAAATGTATTTTCTCTTTGTTTCATTGTAATTAGTGCTGGTGCTAAGGGATCAGCTTTTTTATTGCAGAGGTGTTGCAGATGTGTTGCACTACACCAGGACTTTGTCGAAACACTGCTTATGCTAAATGTTGATTGCTAAAACTAGAATTTTGTTCCTTTTGATGGACTCTTTAACCACTTATGGCCCGTTTCCACTGAGTTGTACAGTACGGTATAGTTTGGTACGTTTTTATGGTCGTTTTCACTGTCAAAATGTATCAAAAAAGCGAACTATACCATACTACTTTTTAGATACCCTTTCGAAAGGGTACTTGGCACAACAAAAGGGGTATCAAAACGTTGTGCAAGATGAGCAGCTGGATGCTATAGGTTTACAGAGATACGTCACTAGCTCTTGCACAAGCCAGGAGAATGAAAACAGAGGAAGCACCAATTTTAAAAACCCAGCCGAGAGATTACACCGTAATAATAAATACATATAATAATGAGCCATGGTCAACCCGAGCTCTAACAAACTTTGTCGTCATCTACCCTGTGCCCCATAGTTGTCTACAAGGCCGTCTAATTTGTTTCATTTTCTCGAGAGAGCTCATGTGCGCATCTAAATTTGAAATGGCAAACTTCTTGAGCTAAAGATAATAAGGTGCGTGTGATTATTGAAGTGCGTCTGACATCCGATCCTTTCAGAAACGAACAAATGCGTGAAATAAACTAAGGAGAAGCCCAAAAAACAGATAAGCAAATGATTTCAGCAACCTAAAGCATAAAGCATACCACTGGCACCATTTTAGCAGTGGAAATGCAAGCCTAATAAAGGTGACCCGTACCAACCCAAACCGTACCATACTTAGTGGAGATGTACCAATAGTGTCTGTAACTGTGATCAGCCCCACCCCCCACCATAAGTTGTATAGTTGTGTAAATTATTAGGAAATTGTATCTATATATTTAGTTTAGTTATGGACAATTTGCCTTTCATAAGAAACTAATATAGTCTCTTTTGTCCTTCGTTCACCTGCACAGACGGACTTTGAGAAAGATGTGGACCTGGCATGCCAAACAGGTATGTTTCTTTCTGAAACTACCATTTTTGCTGTGCTGTCACTTTCCTACCTTAGTTGCTCCCTTATTATTTCACTTTCCTCACTGGTTCTTTCACATTGCCCTGGTTCTAATGCAGTTTGTCTGATTAAGTTAACGTAAACTTAAACCCTGCACATTATTGTCTTCCTCTCACTTGCAGAAAGAGGACACCCATGTAAGTCTCACTCTTAAGTTGGAACATTCATGTATGTATGTATGTGTGTATGTATGTATGTATGTATGCATGTATGTATGTAATTTGTTGCAATATTATTTCGTTGTATTGCATAAATTGGCATACATAACATGCATGTTTGCTTATTGATTACCATTCAGCATGTTAAAGCTTTCAGTTTAACCTGGAGGAATTACCATTATAGAAATATATACCTTATTAAATACCAACAGTTCGGTTATTACAGCTGATGTTTTTTTTTTTTGTCTTAGAGAAGCTGATTTGTGACTTGCCTTGCCTTGCCTTGGCCCAGTGTCCTACAGAGTTTAGTTCCAACCTGCTTGAACATACCTGCCAGAATGGTTCTAGTATACATAGGTAGAGCTTGATTAGCTTGTTCAGGTGTGTTTAATTAAGGTTGGAGCTAAACTCTTCAGGACACCGGCCCTCCAAGACCAAATTTGAGAACCCCTGCTGTAGTATATCTGAGGCGCCTTTTGCATGCTGAGACTCCCAACTATTAACTTACCTGCCTGAAAATATTTGTCCTTTCTTGCCCTCACTGCCTTCTGCATGCTTTGACCCTTTACTGAACTCTGACCTCTGCACCAACAAACTCCATTTCTACACACTGCAACTGAGCTCATTTTCTCTTTTCCCATCATTCCCTCCACTAATCGTATTCTTTTCACACCTACCTGAATCTTGCTTGCACTCCTACTGCTTCAACCTCTCTACAAAATATCCGGGCTCTATTCCTTTGGGAGTTCTTGTAAAACTGTTCTCCATCTCTCCCCTTTCTTTTCTATCATGTATCATTTCACCACTCAACTTTGTTATGGTTGGTTTCTCTTTGTCACTGTCCATCTGTGTGGTCTTGTGTACTCGACCTCTGCTCTGTCGTTTTCTTCCTCCCCACTTCTGTCTTTCTCTGTTCTCTTCCTCTCTTCCCTTCTTCTCCCTACCTCAGTCATCTTTAAGGAGGTGAACACCTGTAACCCTGCCACCATAACCGGAACCCTATCTCGCATCTCCCTGGATGACGAGGATGATCCCAAGTTGGCAGCTCATCAGGAAGGCGTTAATTTCAGCAGTTTGCCTGGAAACATCCCACCCCCTAACCTCCTGGTACAGGTACCTCCGTTGGGTCCCCTAAACGAGCTCAGCGAGCAGCCACTGAAGAAAGAGGTCAATGTGGAGCAACAAGGTCAGCATCAGCGATCTGGACCCATCTATCTGTGCACAGAGAGTGGGTTGGGTTGGGCCCGACCTAATCCTTCTTCCACCCAGGATTCAACTGGTGGAGGAGGTGGGGAAGGGGATTACATGGTGTTGCCACGTCGAACAGTCAGTCTAAAGCCCCCTCCTCCACCCCAGGATGAGGGGAAACCCCTAAACATTACAGTAGATGACCCCCCTTTTCCCCCACCCCCTTCACCAATGACTCTGCATCCAGCCGAGAGTGAAGCATACCCTGCAGACTTTGCAGCTACAGACCACATCAGCATGAACTTAAACCGCTCCTACAGCACGCTCAAACAGTTACCGGCCCATGCCGGACACACACACTCCCACACCAACACCCACACTCTGCAGGTCAAGCAGAATCGTCCTTCTGTCCGGCAGATCCTCACCTCGGGAACGGTGGAGCGCACCAGAACCCTTCCCCGCAACCTGGGCAGCACCAACACCAGCATCTCGGCTGGATCTTTGGAAGTAAGTAGAGGTTAAAGTAAGGGTTCATTCTTTCATAATCTAGAATCTCTGTCACTTTTTGAATGGCTCAGGGTATTTCAGAAACCACCCGTTGTTTGCAATTTTGACTTGAGACATATGGTAGGTGCACAATTGTGCTGTAATCTCCAGGAAAAAGGGAAAGAGGGACCTCATAGCAAAAAGAATCACGCTGGCAGGAAAATTTCAGGTAGATGAAAACGTAAATCAAACATCCAAGCTTGAATGCAGTTTTTGCACACAATAAACACAAACACACAAAGTTACAATTCTACATAGCAACAGACACATAATGAATGGGCTAGTTTTCCCAAAAAAAGGAAAATTGCCACAATTGGCATCATTGCCAACTTGCGTTTTCTATCAACCACGATAGATAGATAGATGGATGGATGGATGGATGGATGGATGGATGGATGGATGGATGGATGGATGGATGGATGGATAGATAGATAGATAGATAGATAGATAGATAGATAGATAGATAGATAGATAGATAGATAGATAGATAGATAGATAGATAGATAGATAGATAGATAGATAGATAGATAGATAGATAGATAGATAGATAGATAGATAGATAGATAGATAGGTTTGTTTGTCTGTAGTTATTAGGGTACAAAACAACATTAAACCTCAACCCCTTTCCCCTCAAAGACGTCAATTTATGTTACGCTGACAAAAATTTTGTTTGTAATGATCCGACAGTGAGTAAATAATTCTTGACTGATCTCTTCCCTTGAGGTGTTGTAACAGGAGAGCAACACCAAAGCCGAATAATCTTATTAGTAATGTCTCCTTTCATTTCGGGGACTGGATGATGGTACATCATCTGTAGTCTCGGGGACGTCATACATACTGATCATCTAGCATCACCCTCATCATCAGTCTGTCACAGGAATGCATTCAGGTGTGCCTTCTATACCCCGAATCCCCTGTCAACATGATGTTACACAACTTAGTGAGTGCATCGGAGTGTGTGCGTGTGTATGCAGTTGCGCTTCTCTCTATAATTACACTACAGCCCCACAAGGAGGGACAGCAGATGGTGAGAGCGAAACAGCCAGAGGAAGTGCCTGGGTGAGCCTGTGCTCCTTCATTACCGGACACAAAACCTTCCCGCTCTGTCCCTACACATAGTTCTTGGGACTAGGGCATGAAGTGCTAAATGATGTTAGATGTCAAACTATAAATATGTATACATACAGTTGAAGTTTGAATTATTAGCCCCCCTGTTTATTTTTTTCCCAGTTTCTCTTTAAGAGAGCAGATTTTTTCAACACATTTTTAAACCTAATAGTTTTAATAACTCATCTCTAATAGCTGATTTATTTTATCTTTGCCATGATGACAGTAAATAATATTTTATTACATATTTTTCAAAACACTTGTATACAGCTTAAAGTGAAATGTAAAGGCTTAACTGGGTTAATTAGGTTAACTAGGCAGGTTAGGGTAATTAGGCAAGTTATTTTATTATGATAGTTCTGTAGGTTATCAAAAATATATAGCTTAAAGGGGCTAATAATTTTGACCTTAAAATTATTTTTTAAAATTTAAAAACTGCTTTTATTCTAGCCAAAATAAAACAAATAAGACTTTCTTAATATAATATATAAAAATATTATCAGACATACAGTGAAAATTTATTTGCTCTGTTAGACATCACTTTAGAAATATTTTAAAAAGAAAAAAAAAATCAAAGGGGAGTCTTCAACTTTATATATAATTAGTCTAAATTGTTATTCAAAATGTAGTAATCTAAGAACAATCTTCTTTTCTTTTTTTCAGCGGGTGTCACTCTTTATATTACACATCCACAGGGTTTAAGACCTTATTTAATGCCTATATTTATCATCCATTCTCCATTTTCATTTCTCCCAATTTCACATACTCACAAGTGCCTATGCACCGAAAATGCAAGTATATATCCTTCTGTATAATATCTTCAATGATAAGGCTGCAGTGAGGCAGTTTGATTTTTAAAACTTCACTTTTCCTCTGAAGAACTCAGTGGCTTAAGTTTGGTGTCTTAAAGTTTGGGTCACACAGGGAAAAGTTCCTTAGTGTTGGTATTGACATCAACTCCAATGGGATTTGTAGTTCCTTGGCTTGCAGTCACCTAACTCACCCGGTGACACCTGAAGCAACTCCACTTTGTAAACAGCTAACTTGTCACACTTTAAACAAGGTACATGCTGTGCCTCATACACATCCTCCCTTTGTGAGCACCATGTGCCTAGGTCATGACTGCTTTGTGTCTGTGAGTTGGAGCTTGTGACAAATTGCCATACAGTGTCAGAAAATATCGGCTAACTGTGTGTTTTGAAGAACCTAAACTCTTTTTGTTACACATATTTCTGTTATATCTCTGTTATATGACATTTTAACTCTCAATTACTGGAAATAAAAATATTCCAGAGGGCGCAGGTGTAGGAAACCTTGTAAAAGTGGCTACATTATATTTTTAAGAGAAAGTTCAACCAAAATGATTATTCTGTCATTGTTTACAGAACTTGTTCCAGACCTATTTGAGTTTATTTCTGACATTGAAATCAGGAAGATATTCTGAAGAATGTTTGAAATGGGATCTATTGACTTCTATAGTATTTTTTCTACTATGGATATCGATGGTTACTACTGTACTTTCCATATTTCTTTTATATATATATATATATATATATATATATATATATATATATATATGCACATTTTTGTGAACTACACCTTTTTCAATGGACAATAACTACAATTCAACTTACAGCACTGGTTTAAAAAAAAAACATATTCTCAGACTTCAGACATTCATACAGATTTAAAATCAGTGATTTGTGCATTTCTTCAGAACTTCCTGTTGCTACATATCCAATTTTTGGTTTTAAGCCTTTATACCAAATATATGATAGTTCTTGATGTGTTTGTGAATCTGTCATGTCACAGACTCACACAGCTTGGCTCACCCTGTATGTGCTGCTATAGGTGGCTCAGTGACCTGCACTGTTAGGTCATTTGTTTTCTAGGACAAGGTAATCAAGTAATCTCATTTTCCAAGTACAAATATATGTTTCTAAATCAATTAAACTAATTTTAAACCATGCTTTGTATTGTTACAATGTAACAGTGACAATTTAATTATTTATTTTTTTCTGGATTCAGACTACACAATATCACCCTAATTTTGTCATAATTAATGTAAGGTGTTCCATTGATTTTGTAAATGTCAAAGGAAATTGAAACTCAAGAACCAATTATTTTATAGTGTCAAAGTGGAAAGTTTTCTGTTCTGTCTGTTCATTGTCCATTTAAACAACACCTTTGCATTGTTATGATATTGGTAGTTTGTGAGCCATGTATAAAATGAAATAAAATATCCTCTTTTTAAATAAATTAAATTAAATAAATAATTAAATTAAATAAAATTTTCCTCTTTACATTGTAAAAGTGCACAAAGGCACGCACATCACTCTAAATGGGTGCTCAGGCAAACAGCAAAAACTGCACAAATATATTGCAAAAATAAATTCATAAAGGCGGCAACACCATAGCTCCAAAAATACCAATTTATTAAATTAAAAAGGCTAACACAAAGCATGTAACATTTCAAGCAAAAAAAATAATCACATTTAAGTGGATTGAACATACATTTTTTAAGGTGTCACAAAAAAATAATTGTGTTGTTTCATCTCATTTTAAATAAGTAGTTTAAACAAACAGCAAATGTCATTTTTTTGAGTGTATGATCAGCAGTTAACTCAATGATGGTTATTTTAAGTAGCAGCGGTCGGTCAAATAATGCAATTTTAATACAAATTAGCCACTAATTTACCAAAATTATTAAATAGATACATTGTCCTGTGAGATTGGGTTGTCTGACCCTTTTTGACTCTGTAACCCATTTCAGGTTGCCATGGAAATAGATAAATAGGATCTCACTTTTTGAGTAATGTTGTGGGAGTACATATTAAAAGCAGGGTGCGAATTACAGGGGGGGTTCTAATTAATACTTGATCGCCAGGACATCGACCCTCTTGGACCGACTTTGGACAACCCTTATTTAAATACTGAGAGTTTCCTCTGATTTGTATCTTATAATAATATATTAAAAAAATAATAATATAAATAATTAAAATAATAGATAAAACAAATATACAGTTGACCACCCCTATAACGATTCGTACAACTGTAAATACAATATTGGACCAAAAAGTTGGAAACCTGCAGATCTACATCATGTTTGTTTCTACATATAGCCCAAAAGTAAAATTAAACTATGCTGCATAGTTTGTATAGTTCGACCCATAGTAACCTCAGAAATAGCAAACAAGAGTATACTATAGGTCAGAATACACCTAATATCCCTCTAAACACTGAAACTTATAATCTAATTATCAGATCTAATTGAACTAAAAAAAATACATAAATATAATTAACTGAAACTTGAATTACACAAACTAACATTAACAAAAAAGGTGACCCCCCTGATCGTCAATGTGTAATTCGTACCTTGATTAAAAGTAGTCTATCGTTCTTCTCCGACACCATTCAATAATTATTGAATTATTTAACATTTTTTTGCACGTGAAACACCTGCCCAACGGCCCAAAGGTGTTCATAAAAAGGCCTCCTGGAAAACCACAGTTCAGTCAATTGAGAAGTATTGCATTCTCCCTCCACCTGCATGAGAGACAAATGCGTCATGGGCGCCAGAGCCTAAGTAAACTCAGGGTCTTAAAGATGTGCACTTGTGATTGATGGTGTCTTCTCTCCCCCTCCCCTTCCCCCAGAGGAAAAGAGTACGGTACTCTGAGCTGGACTTTGAGGTAAGACCCGTCCCCATCTGTCCTTAGACTGGTGTTTGTGCTTCCGTCCAACACTAGCTAGAGATTTTGGACTTGTACAAGAGTCAATGATAGTCGCCGCTTTTTTGCTTGTTCCCCTGTCATGCATTTAGTATTAGCAACAATCCTATCCATGGCAGAACTGCTCAGTGTTTCACATGCCTTGATTCCTTGGGCTTTTTATTGGCGTTATTACAGAATAGGGTGGCCATATATAGACATTATGTATTTTCCTTTTTTATTTTCTTTCTGTGTAGTCATTTACTCTCCATTGGAGTAACATATTTCATATTGTAAAAAAGGTTATCACATCGCCTAACCCTAAACCATACCTGAAAAAATTTGTCTTTCAAATTCTGGTGGGGGATTTGTTTGAATAAAACAGTTGAGAACTGGGTTAGTAACTGTACTGTGGTATTAGTAACTGTACTATGGACCGGATTTCGGGCAGTCAGGTACTATCCAAAAGTTGGATGCTACCAAAGCTGGTGACCCGGGGGAGTTACAGACCGTACTAAAAAGCTGAGGACTGGTGGCAGGGTGAAATTATAGGAGTTTTACAGAAGAAATGGCAAAACGGGAGGGTGGCGGGAAACTCCCAGGAGTTTTGGCAGGTATACCCAAAACCCAACCCTCACTGAATGGCACACCTATGGCACATTTAAATTGCAAAAAAAGACAGTTTTAAATTTGATCTTGACAATTTTTTAAATTATGGGAACACAGGGATTGTCCTCATAAACTACCTCACAATTGTAATACATAGGTCAGACACATGTCATTAGACAGTTTGGTTCCTGACAAACAACCAGTAAACCTATGGCACATTTAAATTGCAAAAAAGACACTGTTAAGTTTGATTTTAACAATTTTGAAATATGGCAACAGGGATTGTCCTTATAAACCACCTCAAGATAGTAATACCTAGGTCAGACACGTGTCATTACACAGTTTGGGTCCTCATAAACAACCAAAACCAGTACACACATATAAAAAAAGAGATTATTTTTAGTAAGCCTGTAACAACCACTTCAGTCAGTGATGGAAAAATGTAGCCATTTCATGAACTTCATAAAAGTTTTGCCTGCTTTAGAATCACATGGCATTACAAGGCCTACTTTGAATTCAGACATGTCATAACACAGTTTGGTACCTCTTAAACAACCCAACCCTCACAGTAATCATATGGTACATTTTAATTGCAAAAACGACCGTGTTAAGTTTGATTTTAACAGTTCTGAGTTATGGGGACATACGGCTTGTCCTCATAAAACACCTCAACATTGTAATACATAGGTCAGACACATGTCATTACACAGATTGGTTCCTCATAAACAACCTAACCCTCACAGTAAGCATATAGTACAATTGAAATGCAAAAAAAAGACCATGTTAAGTTTGATTTAAACAGTTTTGGGTTATGAGGACATAGGGATTGTCCTTATGAAACACCTCAACATTTTAATGCATAGGCTAGACACAGGTCATTACACAGTTTGGTTCCTCTTAAACAACCAAAACCAGTAAACACACAAGAAAAGTGATTATTTGTTGTAAGCCTATTACAACTACTTCAGCCAGTGATGGAAAAGTGTTGAATGCTTTAGAATCACATGGCATCACACGCCTAGTTGTGTAAAGGTAATCTCTTTTATTTTGGAATAAAAGTCTTTTAGATGCATATGACCATACCTGTTTATGTACAGTAAATAGCACTATGATATATATATATATATATATATATATATATATATATATATATATATATATATATATACACACACACACACACACACACACACACACACACACACACACACATATATATATATATATATATATATATATATATATATATATATATATATATATATATATATATATATATATATGTATTGATATATTAGAGCTGTTAACCTACACTGGTCCCACGGTTTGGTTCAGTTCCGATTATCATGCCATCTATTCGGTTCAATTCAATATCTCAACTCATCTCGGTGCATTGACGATGCTTTCCATACGCAGTTTTATATTTTCTTCACAGCACCAATTCCTTTATTACAATGTATAAATATATTTATATTATATACTATTTGTAATACAATTTTGCATTTTAATACAAACAGTAAGATATATAAACTGTACCTTAAACAACATGAGCATTTATAACAAATAATATAAACAAATATAAATATCTCGCTCGTTTTCTCTAACACTCATTTGATTGGTCACACGCTCAACAGAAAGGGCTGCGATTGGCTCTTGCGCGCTGTGACAGATGAGTGACACTGGTAAATGGCAGCGGCGATCACAGCTGATCCATGATAGACATGGTGGAGAAAACTCTGCAGACACACGCTCGTGTCTGTATCCAGAAGTATCACTTTAACAGCCGAGAGGAGAGGAAAAGTTATACCTGCAGGTCAAATGGGCCACAGTGAGAGAGAGAGAGAGAAATAGAGAGAAAAATTTACTTTCATTGTCCCAATCCCAGTAAAATAGGGGCTTCTGCTGTAAGTGTCAGTGAAAGACTGTCCAGCAAACACACACCCAGTGAAACTGTGCACAGTATCTGCATTTTTAAGTAGTTGGAGCATTGTAAATACCCGCGCTCGCCTCCCTCGCCATAGTAAGCTACCGCGACATAGCGCATATGAGATAAATGACGTCAGTACACAATAACCGGTTATGATTATTACTAAACCGATACCGAATTGTCCGCGTCTGTATCACGGTGCACCGAAGAAACAATCATTTTTGACACTCCTAATATATATATATGATATATGATGGATACTCCTAATATATATACTTATTTTTTTTCTTAATTCCAATCTATCTCCATTAATCTTTTAATAAGTGTCAACATTTATCGGTCAATGGCGTCCTTGTTTTTTTGAGAAATACAAGTGTCTTCCGAGATAAGTCTGACACTTTAGATTAAGACAAATAGTTGCATATATACAGCTTTAATATTATTATTGATTAATCTTTTGTATGTGTCACCACATGCAGTTTTTGTGTGACCCACAGATTGAGCTCAGACATCTAGAGACTGAAGAAGACCTTTCTATACTGGTTTATTTTACTTTATCTGGATTTCTCAAAAGCACTGCAAGCTACGTTGATCATAAAAACAATCAGTGTTATCAGTGATTCTACAATCTTGGGTTACAATGCTTTTGGGAAAGCAGTCCATTTGTAGATCACAAAACTATGTTTTGTGAAAGATTCAAGACGTTACTCACCAGAATTGTATAAATTATATGTACAAAGAGCTTTCCATGTCAAATATCTGGTCACCGTATTTCAAAGTGACATTTCCGTTATGTCATCCCAAAAGGGTGCTACCTAATGACTAAACATGGCATGCTTTAAAGCACGCTTCTGAAAACAGCAGGATGATGGCTGCTGAAACACTGAAACAGCGTACAGCTCTAAGTGTGGTGTGAGTGGCATTATTGTGTGTGAAAGAGATAGATAGCATAATGAGACGAATAGAAAGTGCACGTGTGTGACTGAGGCAGCCTGGAGGGCACCTCCATGGAATGATCACCTGGCAGGATCCAGCAAATCTCCAGTCTCCAGCCGCCAAATCCATTTCCCTCCCAGAACACACTTGTGTGCTTTTAAACCAGCAGTTCTTCAATTATGCTTGAAAGCTTAAGTTAAGTGATGACTGGATATTTGCTCTCCAGTATGGAGGCTTCTTCTCAAACTGAGGTATGTCTTGTTACTAACACATTTAGATGCTTTTAGAGCTTCATAACATCTTTCATCATAGTCAGTGCTGCATGAGACGACCCCCCTCCTGTCCCCATAAATAAATGAGGCCTGTCAGTGGACTAAAATAGGTTTATGTTGTTGTTGCAATGGTGAATTTCTTAATTATTAGGTGAATTTCTAAATTATGCTTTTTTTTTTTGTTTGTTTAAAATGATGTGCCTTAACTTTTAACGCATTCAATTATTTATTTTAAAAATAATTAAAAATATATATATAAAATTTAATAAAATGTTAAAAAGTTTTAAAAATCAAACAAATTATCAGTTAGTGTTTGGGCTGGATTGTTGTTTGTAATTTGCATGCATTTTTTTTCACTTACTTCAATAATTGCATCTGCGTTGTCTTTTACAGTATATATATATATATTTTTTATTTAACCAATGGCTTAAACCAGATCACTCTTAACTGATACTAATAATAAAAAATTTGGCTCATAAAATGTAGAGCTTCAATACAATCATTATATATATATATATATATATATATATATATATATATATATATATATATATATATATATATATATATATATATATATATATATGTGTGTGTGTATGTATGTTTGACCATTATCACAGGAGTAGCAGTGCAATATGGCTGTATATCGGCATAGGTGGGAGGTTTGCGTTGGCTCAAGGTTGCAGGCAATGACAATATACAGCCATATCGCACTGCTACGAGTGTGATATTGCGTTTATACAACAGTTCAATAGCAAAATTGTGTATATAAAATAAAAATCTAACAGAGAGTCTAAAAAATAATTTTGTATGAGGAACTACTTTCTTCTGCTATTCCTTCAGATCTGCAGCTGACTTCAGAACAGCATAAACTGTTACTACCAAACAAACGTGACTTTAGAGCAAGTGTTTGAATGATTCTCTAGTGTAATGTCTAAAGTGATGACAAAACAGGTGCCTTTGCTAACATTTTAAGATTAAAATGCTGAACGGCATGAAATTCCCTCAGTCTACAGAGATTTCCCAGTATTTCTCTGTTGCAAATAAAATAACTAGCTGTGAAATTCATTTCTTACTGTTGTTTGGAAGAAAAACGGTCGAATATAAAAATCTAAAACTTAACTAACCTCCGACTGGCTGTGTTCCTAACTCAACAGAATCTATGTAGCTAGTTAAAATTATAAAATAAATAAACTTAAAAAAATAATCGGATCAAATTAAATTGTGATGCTGCGTATTTAGACTCTTTTTGCAATTCACTTTATTCACGATAACATTTCTTGCCCGTTAGTATTGTGGGGCATGTTTAAAACAATCCCCTCTGTTCATTTCCAACCCTGGGTGGAAGTGTCTGTGACTCTTTAACCAGACAATCTTTAATCCCCATCCGAACGCCACTCTTCGAAAGAATGAGTGTTTGTGCTGACCCCTATTTTGAAGTTCCCTTGACTATAGTCAACCCAGCTCCACCCCGGCCTGCCCTTTCTTATTTTTCATTTCGTTTGTTTCTTTCTTTTTTTTTTCTTTATTTGTTGTTCCCCTTCCTTACAGAAAGTGATGCACACTCGCAAAAGACACTCAGAGCTGTACCATGAACTCAACCACTCCACCAAGTTCCACACCATAGACAGGTATAACAGGGACCCTGCCATGTCCTCCTTCAAGGTAAGAGCAATCTAACCTGCGACCCCACCCCCTGACACCTCGAAATTGTACATCACCCTGTGTTTACTAAAGTCAGGCATAACCGCATCTACTAAAGCAATAATAACTGGAGCACTAAATCATTTAATGTGCCTGAATTACTAATGAAATTTACATAATTCATAACTGAAGTTTAAAAAAGGGGTTTTGGGGAAGTTTTAATGTTTTAATTAATGTTAACCTGCAGTGTAAATAACAGTGATGAAGATTCATACAAAACAAATTAGATACTAAATAAATTAAATATGATTCAAATGCATATGCTGTCTTTATATTGACATATAAACCCTGAAACGGAAATGTAAAAATCTGTCATTGTTTATTCACTCACATTTTGTTCCTGGGTATGTGGAACGTTTGTAACTGAACACAAAGGAGGTTTTCACACTGGAAATGGTCAACCCTGGGTCATGCTTAACCCTGGATAAACAGAATCCTGGGTTATATGTCATCCTGTTTCACACTGCTCATACTAAACCATGGGTTACCCAATAATCCTGGGCATTTATTTACAAACGTTTTACACTGTACAGTCCTAAACCCTGGGTTAATGTTCATATTTGCAATGTCACAGTTGCTGGTTGGACGAAAAACAGGCATCCGTGTTTTGACATTTTTTCTTACTACATAGGATGTGTTCGAAATTGCCTTCTACTCAATAGATACTGGATTTGAATTAGAATTGTCATGATCACTCGACCTACCCACGTCAGTTGCGTCACTTCACTCATTTATGAATTCTCCTGTAGTGCATCATGAAATAGTGTATCAGTCAGAATCTCGTAGCAGGTCATCTAAGAACTACCTGCATATTGTTTTTAGAATTCTATGAATTCAGACATATTACTTGGCTTGCATACTGATTTTTAGTCAACTATATAGTATGGAACTATGCGATTTCGGACGCAGCCTTAAAGCCTGTGCATACCGAGACGTTTTTTTACTTGTGTTTTCCGTCAACGTTTAACGCCTTGTCACTATATAAAGGGCGTCAATGTGATTGTGCACACCAACGGCCAAAACGGCAGGCGCAAAAGCGTCATTTTTTAAAAAACGCCTCATGCTGGTTTTTTTTTTTTTTTTGACGTGCCGCGTTAAAACCTTCTCCGCCAATCAGGTTGGCACTTTTGTTCATGTGCACGGAGCTGCTGAAGTTGCAGTAAACAGCACTTGCAAGCCATCAAGTGCAAAACTGTTAATGCAAGCGCACATTGAAGAAGATGCCCAGAGGTGATATGAACGTGGAGCTGCTTATTGCTTGGTGAACAATAATAATTTCTTCATCGCTAGAGCTGGAGCTGCTACGTGAACCATCTATGCTTGTTCGAGTCACCAGTAACTTTAACAATAAGCGTGTAAACTTCCTCTTTTCCTCTTCTTCAGTGTTACAAGCGGGTGTCAGAAGCTTAAAGTTGTGTAGCGCCATCTAACGTCAAGGAGGGATTTTGCATACTCTTTTGCTTGACGCCAGTGAAAATCGCTTGGGTTTGAATGCAGAAAAACGTCTCGTAAAATGCTGACGATAAAGACGCCGATGTCTTTTCCTAATGTTACCTCTGTGTACATTACACAAAAAGTTTTTTTTTCACAAAAACTTCAAACTTTTTTCACACTGAAACAGTTAACCCTGGGTCATCCTAAACCCTGAAGAAACTGAATTCTGGGTTATCTGTCATCACGTTAAACACTGCTCATGCTAAACCCGGGGTTAACGAATAATCCTGGGCATTTATTTACACACATTTCACACTGCACATTCCTAAACCCCGGATAATTGTTCTTATTTGCATATTGGTGATGTCGCTGTTGCTGATTGAATAAATAGCAGCTAGATAAATGTTTTGACATTTCTTACTACACAGGCTGCGTCTGAAATCGCCTATTAGTCAGTAGGTAGTGCATTTGAATTAGAATTTACTACTCGATCGTTAGAACAGTATGTTCTATACAGTATGAATGGGAACTCTAAATCATTTTGTCATGATCACGTGACCTACCCACGTCAGTTGCGTTACTTCACTCCCATTCATGAGGTCCATGGGATAGCGTAGTGTCTATTGGATGCGCACTTCAGAATTTCGCCGGAAGTCATCCAAGTATTACTTGCATACTGTTTTTTGAATTCATTGACATATTACTCGGCTCGCAAACTGTTTTTTAGTGTACTATATAGAACAGATATGCGATTTTGGATGCAGCCTCAGTCTTTTTTAGTCTTTTTAGTCTTTCCCTAATGATGTTTACATTACACAAAAGGGTTTTTCACACTGGAAATAGTGAACCCTGTTTATGGCATACTATATAGTGTGGAAGTATGCAATTTCGGACTCAGCCTTAAGGCTTGTTTACACAGAGACATTTTTTGCTCGCGTTTTTTATCAACATTTAAAGCCTCGTGACTAAATAAAGGGCGTCAATGTCATCGTGCACACGATGCGCCAGGTCAAAACCTTCTCCACCAACCTTCTTCACCAATGGAGCTGCTTATTGCTCTGGTGAACAATAATCTTTGTCGCTAAAGATGGAGCTGCTACTTGAACCATCCATAACAACAAGCGTGTCAACTATGTCTTCTTCTTCTGTGTTACAAACGGGTTTCAGAAGCTTAAAGTTGTGTAGTGCCATCTGACGTCAAGGAGTGATTTTGCATACTCTTCTGCTCGATGCCAGTAAAATTGCTTGGGTTTGAATCAGGAAAAACGTCTTGAAAAACACTGACGATAAACAAGCGTCCCGGTGTTTACGAGCCTTTAGTCTTTATTGTCGTTTCTGTTTGCATTTTGTAATGTGATGCAAATCTTGCTGCTCAATTTCTAATTGGCTGCGTTTGTTGCCAAACGTCCAGCAGCATCAAGCAAACACTGCCCTGTTTAACACTCAATAAATAAGACTGCAATGTATGGTTAGCTTTGTAGCAGAGTTTCATAAAACTTGGGTAAAATTATAGCATGTCTTCTTCAGGATTAAAAGCAGTATTTAGAATGGCAGTAACCTGGGCTTAGTGAGCGGTGTGAAAAGAATTAAAAAAATGTACTGTATATGTTTGAAGCAGTATGTCAATAAAAATAGGACATAGATTTTTGCCAAAAGTGGATCAATATGATACAAAGTCGGGCACTAATGCAGTCTATAAATGATGACAGATTTTTGGGTAAACTTTCCTTTTAAAAAAATAAAGTGAGTTCTTTTCTGGTATTTAAATTTTAGATGAGCAAAATGTAATCATACATCCACTTGGTGTTCAGGAAACACGTGTTTTTCAGAGCATGCACTGCTTACCATTTCCCCAAGCGGTGTGTTTTGTACGCTAATTAATACAGTATTAATAGCTGGATCATATTCAGTCTCCCGCCATTAAGCTTCTCCAATACACCTGCCTGCTCCAGCGCTGCCTCCAATCTGCTTTCCCTGAAAGAGCTGACTGTTCATCTTTATATTAGCTAGACTGCTGAATCTTTAATGTCCTATTAGCAGAAGGAGCATTGCAAACATCTATACACCAGCGTTCGGAGGCTTTTGGCATTAAGATTTAAAAGCAAATGCCCTTTGGAAAAATTAACTCACTGTAATTTGCGACAAGTGTATACTTTGGTGGCATTTGCCACATGCTCACTCACTTTTCATTTGGATCATGCTGTCTGCAGCCTCAGTTACGGTCCATTTAAGGCTTTTAGATGCTTGTGCTGGATTACATTCCACCAGAGGCGTGTCCTGATTGGCCACCCATCGGTTCTGAAACATGAGTAATATGTGACCCTGGACAATGAAACAAAAACCAGTCATAGTGGTCAATTTTTTAGGTTTATACTGGGGTGTGAAGAGACGCTTACTCCACGAGATGAGACACAAGATTAGATTCACGAGAACAAGACAAGACGTGATTTTGATATTATTTTTATTATTTTATTATTATTATTATTTTTTTTTTTATCCTCAATGAAAAAATATATGATTGGGAAATTGTTTTTTTATTCAACTGAGAAAAACCACAAGGTGCTTTTTAAAAAAAAAAAAAAAAATCAACTTGTAATAAATATTTTTTTATTTATATTTTAATAAATTCTATGCTGTAAAGGGCATGTAAACAATACAAATATGTTATATATTAATGGAAAATAATGCTAATATATCATTTAAAATATTTGCTATATTTAGCAATAGCTAAATATTTGCTAATGTATTCATATATATATATATATATATATATATATATATATATATATTATTCAACTGTTTTTTTAATAAACTTGTAATAACTTTTATTTTACTTCTGTTTTAAATAATTATACCATAAACTACATGCAAACACTGCAAAATATTTTGCTAATAACTGTACTGACTGAACAAACTCTGAACTACTGGATGTGAGTATGGATTGATAGAAGAGAGCTGTTTCAGTGGAATTTAATATTGCATGCTGAAGGAAAAAGTCACTTCCATTTATTTCCGGATGGCATAAATGGTGACGGTTGTGTGTGCATCTTCAGTAGTTCACTGTGTGTGTGTGTGCACTTTGAGGAGATCTGTGTGTTTGTGATGCTACTGACTTGGTAGGTGCAGAGAATAGTGTCAAACAGTGTGTATAGGCTTATCCTGATGCAAAATGTGGATAGAAGTCCTACACAATGGTTTGATTTGGCATTTACATGTCTGTCCAGCAAGGCTAAATTGTCCATAGTGTATGAGTGTGAATGAAAGTGTATGGATGTTTCCCAGAGATGGGTTGCAGCTGGAAGGGCATACGCTGCGTAAAACATATGCTGGATAAGTTGGCGGTTCATTCCGCTGTGGCGACCCCAGATTAATAAAGGGACTAAGCCATAAAGAAAATGAATGCATGAATGAACATCTGTCTTAATTCGATTTGTGTTTACAGAAATTATAACTTTAAGCATATCTAAAGTGCTATTCCAGCGCATGGTTAATTAACCTTTGAACTCTGGTGAAAAAAAAAGTGGTCA